CAAAAATATAGTATATAAAGTCTAGGCCAGTTTCATCTATCCATCTGCCCAACTGTCTAGTAATTGTGGTAAAAATACTCCCATTAGCGAAAATAAAGATATCGCTTTCAAATTTGCAAAAAAATTTGGAAGTGACTTAAAATTTTCCAAGGACCCGCCTACAAAACTTTCACGTCTATGTGACAAAAACTTTTAGTTTGAAAATGGAAAAAAACAGCCGCGCGCAACTCTCTAATTATAGAGGATGAAAGTTTAGTAGTTTCACTTTTTTTTTGTCTTTTTTAGTGTAAGGGGCGGTGATGGGTATAAAAGATTTCGTCACGACGACGAATATAATTTTCTTACTTGTTGTATTTCACGTTTTCCTGTGCGTGTTGTCGAAACTCCACCCAATTCTTATAATTTTATCCCAAAAAGAATTAACAAATATTTCGCCCAAATATCCAGTGCCTTGAAACACTATAATGAGAGGACACCGTTTAGGAAACCGTTTACTTTTGTTCATTGTGAACGCTTCCACTACAAAAGATATATTTTCTACAATTTCTAGTATGCTTTGTTAGCTTAGTAGGGAAACCTTATAAAGTGTAAAAGCATCAATTTAAGTTTTTCCCCTAAAATGTTCAATTATTGGCTTATCGAGATGATCTTGAGACACTACAGCCGCATTTCATTTTATTTTAAAGTCCCGGATGTTCTTGATTTAAGTAAATATTTTGATAAATATTTACAAAGTTATTGTGACGTAACTTTCGATTTACAAAAAAATAAGCGATTCATGGGTAAAAAAAGATCTCATCTAATACAAGTATATATGTATTTTTTTTAACTGTTTTTTTTGTTTCGTTTACTTTAACTGTACGTTAAATATTTACTAGTAATGAAAAAAAAAAAAAAAAAAAAAAAAAAAAACTAAATATATCTTACTTTGGTAAAATTTCAAATGTCTTTAGAGGAGTAAATTGGATTACCTTAATGATGGCAAGGACGGATTATAAAACTAGTGTTAAATGGGATAATGGATAGTATGAAAATTTATATTTTGTATTTTATCCTATCCTTATATATATATATATATAATAACATAACACAGACTACATATAGGATTCATAACAAAATACATGTACATATGAATATGCATACATATGTATTAGTAAAATCGCAAAATTACATACTAAACTATGCGTTTAGATTAATATAAAACAAAAGATCAGCTAGTCTCTAGAAAAACTCAAATTTTTACACATATATAATATTTTTTTTTTTTTTTTTTTTTTTTTTTTTTTTTTTTTTGTTGAATGAAGCAGTAAAGTAATACGAGTATATCAATTAATTATGATATAAATCACTAAACTTTGATTATAAATAATCATAAATAATATTATATATCTTCAGCAGAAATATTTACTTTAAATTTCATTACTTTTAGTTAATAATTTTTTTTTTTTTCAATTTATTTATTTTGTTTTTTTTTTTTTTTTTTTTTTTGTTTTTTTACTGATCTAATACCTCACGTGTACGTAATTCCCAGAGAGCTTCATTTATTAAAACCAGTTCGGTGATATTCTGTTAGAAATTATGTTACGTCACAGTTCATTATAAATATATGTATGTACAGGGTGTGTATGTGTGAGCGCGTTTATTGATTGTATTGCATAAAATACATACAAGTAGTGTTTTATACATGTTTTGAAGATTCATTTAAGAAGAGTGTGTATAATAATAAAAGAGAAGTTTTAGAGAGTGTTGTTTGGAGAGATAAAGGGATTTCATTGAAACTTACCGCATTCGTGCGACGATCGTAAACGGGCATAGATACGGTGGTCAGGAATTGATATGCTTCCGAATCGGTAGGCTGATCCCAGGCCTAAAAAAATACAAAAATTTTATATATATATATATATATATATATGGGAAAAGAAAAAAAAAAAAAAATAAAAATAAAAATAAATAAATAAATAAACAAACAAACAAAGAAATATTTTCAAGTGTGTTATACTTCTTTCATTCGTCGATATTCGCGACGACGCACTTCCAGTGGCTCCAACATACGAAATCCTATCCTACGATATTCCAAAATATCTTCACGTTGATCCTCGTTTTGTTTCATTTGCCACAAGTAATCGGACATTTCTAAATCCTTAAAATTTTTTAAAAATCCATTAAAATCGTTATAATCTTTTTATTTATTTATTTTATTTTCTATTTTTTTTTAGAAAAATTTGTAATGCAACATATTGAAGTAATAGCATATGAATTGTATTCTTACCACAAAATCAGCATAAACCTGTGTCCAGATTACTGGATGATCATGACGGCCTAATACTAAAGGTCTAGCCATTACCGGTATATAATTCAAGACCATTTCACGTACTTCCGCTGTATCCATTAAATGCACATAGTAACCTTGATTGGCGCATGCCATCCATTTAATATCCTTAACATCGGCCACTTCCTTACCGATGAGATAAGTAAAAACACGTACCGGCTTATAAGGCAAATCACGCCAATTATATTGTTCGAAAATTTCTTCATAACTAAATGGAGCACCGTCGCTAACTATCATGATCGCTTGATTGCATTGCGAGCCCCTTTGATCCAATTTATATTGTTCCAAAACCTCAAAAGCTTTCGTTAATGCAGCGGAAAAATTGGCAATCGAGGCGGTTTTAACTGACTCAATTCCCTCTTTAAGCTCACGAACGTTACCAAGGTTTGCCTTTGGTTTCATTCATAAATTATGTTATCATTCATATTTTCATTATGTGGGCGTAAGATAATTTTGCCAACCCACACGCATTTTATGAACATTGATGTAATAATTGTTGTGTGTGGTATGTTTATATGTGTTGTGCATATGTATGAATGTGCATGTAAAAGGATTAAGAGTACAGAAAAAAGAGTTCAAGTTTAATATCGAATTAAAAATTATATAATAAATATTAGATTTTATATAATAAAAAAAAAAATAATAAAAATAATTTCATAAATGAATAAAAAATAAAATATCATTTCATATATAAGTAAAGCAAATGAACATTTTCTCATAAAAAATAAAATAAAAGTAAATTTCATATCGGAAGGACTATTTTCAAATCTCTCCTTCCTGGTAAATGAATGTCAAACTTCGACTGGTTAAATAGTTATCAACTTCAATAGAGATGATTGTATAGAGAATCGAAGAATTTACTTTTTTCTCATTGTAGTATCAATCATAATAATAATAAAGAAAAGCAATTAAGATAAGAAATCGGATTCAATGAGGCTTGTTAGAATAAATAGGCCTAGAAGGGGCGTTCCAAGGAAGACCGCAATTAATATTATATCGCATTAGCTAATACTGTAGTTACCCTTTATCAGAGTAAAATTGAGTTGAACAGAAAACACTGCGCTATCGCAGTCACCGATTGTAACTTTTCATTTTCTCTTGCTTACGGCAGGTTCATTTTTCAGAAAAAATCTCTCTGTCTTAGCTTCACTATAAGTCCATATGAGAAGGTAATCTTTTCGATAGGACGTAACTTGAATCATTCTTGCAGTTAAGTTAAATGAATTTACAAAATTATTTCAGAGCAGCTGCACTTCGTCAGTCTATTGCATATAACTTTTAATTAACTGCCGGTTTAGTCGAATGTGAAAGTAAATTACATTAATTAGTATAGAAGAAATTAAATAATAATAATTATTTGGTAAAAAAAAAAAAAAGACAAAAAAAGAAAAAACGAAAAAACCAGACCAAAATTATTTTATATACTTGGACAAGTGTATCCTCGAAACATCCAACGACAGGCTTTACATCATCGCCAAAGGTGAAGATGTTCACAAAGTCATTTGTACCTAACGTGTCAAGTAGTGTGTTTACAACATGCTTTGCGATATCTAGCCTCTGCCCTGTCATAGAGCCTGAACCGTCCAATAGGATAATAACATCCTTTGGACTAGTGGCCGCTTCCATAAACCATGAACGTAACCGGCAATCGTACAGATCGACCGGTTCCGTCTTCCATTTCGATGCCGGGAATTGACGCATAAAGCCGGTCGAACTACCAAAGAATTGCCACGATAATGTTGGATCTTTTTTATAATTATCCCGAAAAATTTGGTCTAAATTTTCCGACCATTGTATAGCTCGTATAGTTTCCGTCGCTAAACAATTATAAAACGAATAAAATACATATATATTTATATTTATATATATATATATATATATATATATATATATTTTACTTGAAGTTTTAAAATTTACCAAAAGTGTATATAGCATAATGTGTACAGAGATGAAAGCGATATAAAAATTAATAAGTTTGAATAAAAAGACAAAATAACACAGATAATAAAGCTATGTAAAGCTTAGCGTGAGCCTTGCATACCCAACACTTAGTATGTATTCTTAGTTAAGTTCTTAAAAAACTTATTGCACCTGATAATACCAAAAAAATGGCACTATTGCAAATTAGACTGAATAAATGAAACAAGTACACCCAATTCAATTTTTATACGGTAAATATCTTCCTTAAAATTCCGTGCAAAAAAAAATCATGTAAAAAATACATGCTACATATGGTTAATTTGCTGACATGTTCCACATGTTTAAAAAATCATATAAGATGACAAAACCGTACAAAAAAGTAATAATGAAATCCGTATGCTATGGAAAATGCTATAATCAAATAAGTCCAGCACAATTGTCGGGCTTAAAGAACAATTTTTTTCGGATTCGTGCTAGAACAAAAAATTCGCGTAAAAGAGTGCATTAGTTCTTGTCAGTGAACCGAGTTTAAAATCGTGTAAAAAAAGACGATGTAAGAAAAAAGTTGGGTGTACACAAAATTTCACGTGGTGAGTATTTAAAAAGCGAAAAACAAAACCAGGCATAACCAAATCGATTCTGCTGGACTTTGAATGTATTTATATTTTCCTCCCTTTTGATATTTATTTTATCAGCATTACGAACGGGTTAACCAGAAAAATATTGTATATATATGTTGCTTTCATTGAATATAACTTGATAAACTTTATGCACCCCTTCGATAGAAGGCGAAACTAACAACTCATCAGCATTAGAGACATCATACAATAAAATATTACACTTGGTCAGCACAAGTTTTCGATTCGAATTAGTTCTATACGGGCGGCTTATTTGCCGTCTGTTGTTGCGAAGTTGATATAGAAAGATGAAACTTGGCACACATAGACTTAGTATGGGATTGAGGATCAAGTTTATAAGTAGATCGTAGTATCACAATCTTAATTAACTATAGCACAGAATCCCGTTGTATTGTATTGATTTGGAATGCGCCACAAATCTTCAATAGACTTATTAAGAAGTTCATCGCAACAACAGGATTGACTACCGCATTTTTGTTATTTATCATCGATAGTAAATTTTAATTTATAAATAAAAGATACATTTCTTGGAGGCATCTTAAAGGCCAACAATCTTACAAATTTACAACTAGCGTAAAGTGTCGCCATTTTTATACGTAGGTGGTGGGTATCAAAGATAGGTATTCTCACTCTAAAATCGGAAACCGGAATCCGAAATATCATAAAAAATATTTATGATGCCATACCTTCTTATCAAAGATATGAACATAATTGCCTGCCTGCTTGCGTGCTTATATATATTATAGGTGACCTTCGTATAACGAGACGCTTTTAGAATACGGTCTTCTCCTAAAACGCGCTTTACAATAGCGCATGCGGTTTGATAGTTGGGAGAACTATTTAAACCACCTATTATTTCCGATAACTGCTACTTCGTTATTTCAAAACATTGTAGAGAGGCACGGCTCACTATTAAATATCTTGTACCTTATGAACTTACTCTTAGATCGATTAAGAATATAATTTTGAATCGATTGGAATAATAATAGTTGCGTCTACTTTAAGACCTTCTGGGTATTAAGCTCAACACCTCTGTACGACAAGCGGTGTAGAATATAACCGATTCCGTTTCATGAATTCGAAGCTAAAGAAATGGTAAAACTTCGTCTAATAAAACTCTTGTTTTATTCTCGTCATAACTTGAACAAAGAAATGCATGGACAGACATCAGACGGCCAGACAGGCTTAGATCGATTCCGAAAATGATTCTGCACAATGAGGTGGATCGATTTTAAGCGCTATTGCGTATTAGATACGTCCGCACAAACTTAATATACCCGGTGCTACAAATGATGTAAGATATAAAAAGAAAAACATGAATAGGCGACGAACGAACAAACAGCTATTCCTTTTCGAACAAGCTTGGAATCATTTTTGATCGAATCGATTAGCATAACATAATAAAAGGTAGGTACCTCTGGACGTTGCAATCATTCGCACATAGTTATCAGGGGAATAAATATCATTTTGGAAAAATTAGCGAAGAAGTTTTTCCAAATTTTAAAATTTTATTAGTAACTTTTGTTTTGCATTCTTCAATTCGCCATTCGAAGGCTACCTGTAAAATAAATAAATTGTCATTTAGCGACAATTCCTTTACAATGTATATTTTAATAAATACACAAATAGTCGCGATGCCAAACAAGCAAGCAATTGAAATTGTAATGTAATTGTGATTTTGTTAGTTTTAGCGCAATGTGAGTGAGAGAAAGAATGAAAGAAAGAAAGAAGGAAAAAAAAAAGGCAAACAGTAAGAAAAATAATATGACATTAGTTTACACTTTACCAGAACTTTTTATACAATCGCTTTTGTGCATTTAAAATTCGCATTAGCATACTTTTAGGTACTATTCTGGGCACCAAAACATTTGCATATTTTCTGATAAAGAATTTCAAACAAAACTTGTAGCTTCAAAACAAAGCCTAAGCTTAGGCGAAAAGTTTTATTTGTTGCGTGAAATAAACGAAATACTAAGCATAACAACAACAACTTATGTATGTTAAATGCATATTAAATAAGAAAAGGGAGGGGAGAAAAACAAAAAAAAAAACGTTGAATTCAAACCTCGATCATAAACATTGGTCGGTATATGAACTGAACTGACTGTTAAATTAACGGGTGTATCAAAGAATTCAGCTTTGGGTGTTAGAACAATTCGTTTGGGCGGTACCCAAATTTTTGGCCCTCCGGCATCGTCCAGCTCGCGTGGCGGTTCCGTGGGCATAGGTTCATGCGGTTCAATCATATCTTTCGCATTATAATATGAAAAAAATTTATCTGCCTCATCATTCGTTAGCGCAGTATTCTCAGCCGCATCCATTATACGCTGATTAAGTTCATTAAAATTAATCGTTAATAAAGCTTTATTCGAATATAAACTTATTATATTTCATAACTATGTACGAGGTATGTTCAAAAAACAAAAAATGATGAGCTATTTATTATTCTTAAAATATATTTATTTAACTATCGTTATCTATTTTGTCCCCTTGAAAGTAATCATCCTTAGATATAACATAATAATTGAGTTTGCGCTTTTTCCAATTCTCGAACACATTGCTTTTATACGCTTGAGCTCTTCCAGAGATGCGATCTTTTCTTCCTTAATAGTAGCAAAATTCCGTCATATTTTGTGGACACATATGTTCCGACATAATAGTAACAAAAAATTCGAAAATTGAAAGTCAGCTTTTTATCTTTTTTTTTTTTTTTTTTTTTTTTTTTTTTTTTGAATATACCTCGTACATTTATATTAATACATCAAAAAAAAAAAACAAAAAAAAATGATTAGAAAATTTTCATATATTATCTGAACATACAAGAATTGAAAACTTACTCGAACAGCGCTTATTTTCGCATCCATCATGGTCTTAATTTCATTTGCCATGTTTTCCACAATTTTTGCACCAGATCTTGAAACAACTTGTGCTTGTTTAAAACTCTATAAGGAGACAACGGAACAAGAAACCATATAATCCATTCCCCTCTATTTATATATATATATATATATATATATATATATATGCACATATAATCTAAATGAAAAATCTTAACTAAAAGATTATGTTTTAACTTTGAACTCATTTAAGTACAGAAAAAAAGAAAAAAATAAGAAGAAAAAGAAAAAATCAATAATTTTGTGTATCACTGAATGACTTCACACATAAAACCGGTAATAATGCAATTAATATCTATTTTATAATGAATTTAAATAACATTATATACCTCTTGAACTTCTTTACGGCGCGTTATAAAATCTCCTAAATGAAATAATTCCATGCCTAATTTATCGGCCCAAGAATGCACACTATAGAATTTTATTGAAAATAATTATAATTAGCACAATAATAATAATAATAGAATCATTATGAGTTAAGAGAATATTTACAGATTATAATTGATTTTTTCACCAGGCACAAAATTGGCACCATTTGGATACAAAATGAAAAAACAAGAAATTATTGTGAAAATCGTCACATTCCAACTTTTCAACAGCATATTTATTTGGCATTGAGTATTAAAAAGGTATTTTTTTTTTTTTTTTTTTTTTTTAATTAATTTAAAAAGCACTTAACATTTCGCTTCTTCTTCCGTAAATCACTTTTTATTTATTAAGCATTTTTGAAAATTTTGTAAAAAACAAAAATTGTAGGAACACACTCTTAAAAATTGAACGAAATAGTTTTTTTTTTTTTTTCGTAATTATTATTAAAGAAATTTTAAAACATTTTTTATACGGTCATACGTATATATGTATATATACACATACATATATATACATGTATATATATATATATATACAAATATATTTATATATTTTCGTTAAAATGAGCTCTTGTATAGAAAATTCTCGTGTGTGTCTATACCGAGCTTAATGCAATTTATTAAAGTAGTCCTGTTTTCCTTTTTTCATATCGCTCTCAACACATCAAACCCGTAACATATGTTATAAAAGGACCTACAGTTTTGCTATAACAAAATTTATTATTTGCACTGTTCTGATTCTTGTTCACGCGTGCGCCAGCGCATGCGACTAATGATTTGTTTTTGTTTACATACCGCACGTGCATATTAATGTTAAATTATTTCAATATTTGACCGTATCATTTTACGACTTCAATCTGCATAAATTGCATTGAACGCGAAACGAAATACATGCGTACCTGTTGAATGTTATTACTTAGCATCCGAGGTAAAAAAAAAAGAGTCTATTAAGTATATATAGGACACCTGTTGTCGTTGATCCCTCCCTAAGCATAACGTATAAATACTTAATATTTTTCGCATATTGCCAGGTATCGTGCTGCAAGGGGGTTGATTTATTATCAATTGTTTATCGCTATATTACGTTAAACAACAAAATCCATTTATATCGAAATTAAATACTTTTCATTTTTTTTCTTTTTTTTCTTTTTCCTAACAACACTTACAGTATATATTGTCTCGTAAACATGAAGGATTTATTTATTTGCCTTTACACTTATAGGTCATTTTGTGGATTAAACAGATCCATATGGCTTTTAAATTTTTTTCGCTTATCTTGTGGTGAAGATCAACCAAAGTCACGTCTCAATTCGTTGCTTGTAAAGCCTTCAATATATCGCAAGTGCTTAACAGCAATACAAATACGTGGATATATAAATTGAAGATCTATCGGACTCAAATACAATGATTCATTATATTTATATTCGGGACGGGACTTTAACTTTGCTGACTTCTTGCACCACATCATGGTGGGCTGACACATGAAGCTTCGCTTACATGGCCAGTCACACTCAGACGATATTCCGATTTTCGACTTGGGAGTTCGACCTTGTCGAGTTTTTACAAAACTTTATCAGAATTGATAAATCATATGATTCTTTGTGTATACATACTAATGAAATAAAAGGAAAAAAGCGCACAAGAAGAAATGTTGATCGTTTCTTTTAAATATTAAACTTATTCATCTGCTCACTGATTACGTATGGCATTAACTAGGTTTCATTTTCGACGTTCGAGCTTTTTGTCTAATATGTATGCATAAGGGGTGCGAGAAACGCTCTCTCAAAACTGTCAAATCAAGTGTAAGCACAATTTGCTCACGCTTTGCGTTAGTATTAGTTGTTTAGCGCTGCATTTATAGAAGAAAACAGAGTTGCATTTAACAAACAAAACTGTTTACTGATTAACAATTGAATCAAAATGAAAAATTTTAAATCTATAAAAAGTTAGTAGATTAAAACTTTTTTTTTTTTACTTTTTGTTCCAATTGTCTAATCAACACTCTTAATTCGCGAAAGCTTGTAATCGATGGTGTAGCATCTATTTTTCCATACATCATCATATACCGTCGCTAACATTGACACAGCGCAAAGGAGCAAGTAATAATAATAACTCACCACTCTACTGGATTTATTGGTCTTATCACCAACAGGGCTGATGAATTCTACTAAATAACTACAAAAAAAAAGGCATAACATAAATAAAACATTTTTATTGAGTAATCAAGTATTGTTCACAAATATATATGCGTGAGGCGGAATGGTCCCTTTGCTCATATTATGTCATTTGGGAGTAGAGGAGCATCGTGTTTTGACGAAAAGAAATCTTTTGCGGAGCGCTTCAAATTATCTCACGTTGTCCGAATATGTGTTAAGTATGTGTATGCGTATGGATGTGTGTCTACAACGTAAATAAAAAAAAAAAAAATTCTTATAAAGTTTTGTAAAAAGTCGGAAAAGTTCAAATTCCAACCCAAAAATAGCAATAACGCCTTGTGTGACAGCCTCCTAAGAGAAACATTTCAATTATAATTTTTTCATAAAATCGGAGATAATTTAGTTTATAAATGTTCATATATATTAATTACATATATATTATATACATAATCTATCAATTTATAAAATTAATAAATGGAATATATGTCATCCAGATGAGCAAATATACGCAAAGCTTCATTATATTAGATCCCCATATGGTCTTGCATTATAAACACCAATAAAAAAAGAAGAAAAAACGCGTAAGAAGAAATAAAGAAAATTTATTTTAAATTAAGATATTATTTATCGAATTTACGATCAATTCAGAAACGTTATCTGAATTGATCTAACTCTGTCCGTCCGTCTGATATCTGCGTGTCACAATTCTTGAGATATTTTGATGAATACTTTTTTGACCTAACGACAAACGCTATTTAATTGAAAATGGTTTAGAACGGTCCACTTTTTCGAGCACTTCCCATATAACGCCACATTCTAAGAAGTCGTTATATGGAAAAAAATTGTAATTTTCAAAATATCTCGGCAAAAGTGGCTAAGTAGTAGTATTTCGGCATTCGAAATTTGTATGAAAACTTTGGATCAACTGGGGCAATTTTTGAACCCCGCCTCATATAACGAAAACTGAAGTTGATACGACAAAAAGTAATAATTTTCAATGCTACATGATGAAAATTATATTATATTGGTAATTTATGCCTATTTTATGGATCGTAATCTAATAAGAATTTTCACGAAAATTGATCCTTTGTAGAATAGAAAACTCCAAATTTTAATATGTGATGATGAAAATTGACCCATAATATTATAGTAATTTCACGCAAAAATGAACTCTACAAAGTTCGGACCATCCACGCCTATTTTATGGATCCTACTCTATGTAAGGATTAAATTTGTACTACATTAGATTGCGTTTCGGCCTAGCTTCCACATATATATGTGTATATATGGAAATAAGATATAATTTTTGTGTTCTATAATAAAAAATAAGAATTGTTTTAGACAGTGTGGTGCAGGCTATTCAATGATGTTCTTATTTGTTCTTATAAAATAATACGCTAACGCGGTTTCTCATTATGTTTAACGTGTGAGAGTTTTTAAGCCGAAAAATGCAATAACGCAATATTATGTTTTAGGTTATAAGCTCGATTCAGCATATTATATATATAACGTAGATATTTCAAAATTATATTTTTATACGATTTTGGGAACAAGGTCATCAAAGACAACATTAATACAGAAAGTTTATGATAAAGTTTGGCGAACAATTTGAATTTGATGATATGTTATAGTGCACTTAATAGTTGGTTTTGTCCGACCATATTATGTTCTAGTTTGTTGTATTCTTGATGAACGCGAAATTCAAGCTAAAAAATAATTATGTCAAGCAAAAAATGAATGAAAAGAATTCACAGATTTTTCTATATTTGCTTCATTCAATAATCGTAAGCCCCAAGCGAATGTTATTCTCTTACTTCTATTCAAAAGTTATATTTTCTTCTATGAAACTATTATTTAACGGCAAGATAAGAAAAATGCAAATGAAAATTTTATAAAGCGCGAGTCGAAGCACTCGACATTAAACCTAACCTGATGTTAAATAATAGCCTTGAAAATGTTTTTTTTTTTTTTTATTTTCATTTTCATAGAAGACTGCGCCTGGAGGCAAAGAGGGAACATGTTTGCGACAGATATTTTACACGAAATTTTCTTTTAATTAATTAGCAATGGTATAGACTAGAAAGTAATATAATTTGATGAAAATTTTACTAACTTTTTTTTAAAGATTCCGCGGATTATTCCCGAGAAACTTTTTAAAGAATCATTTTACTTTTTAAAAGCGCAAAACGCAAGCAGTTTTCATTTTCCGTGATGCGTCTTTATCGTCTGCTCGCCTTTTCCAATGCCATAACATATGTATTGGCATTGTTCATCATTCTTCTCAAGGAGAGACCAATTGTAGCGCGAACAATTACATACATACAAGTTGACGAATGGTCTCCCTTTAAAGAATTATTTACTCATTTTGTGAATGGTTTAAAGAAAGTTTAACGACAAGGATATAACTTTTACTTAAAAAAAAAAAAAAAAAAAAAAAAAAAATAGAAACCAATTAATAATGAAAAAATCATAGAATGCAATTTCACATAGCTGTTAACAGTCCAGTACACATTTAATATATATGAAAAACAGTTAATTAATAATTTTGATAGCCTTTGTTAATTTTCTGCATATCCATTAAAAGGTGTATATATATATATATATATAAATATTTGGGAAACTTGTACAATCTTAAGCTGCAGTATTTTCACGGACATACAAAATGGAAAGCCTTCGCTAGAAATTCCCAACGCTACTCGTTACAACCAATAGGCCGCTTAGAGCGGTAACCATTACCTTTTCTGAGACGTACAAAAGGCCATATAAGACATAAGTCACCGGCTAAAATGATAATCAATCATTCAAAGCGATGATTGAGTGAATGTGAATGTAATTAAATTAATTTTATTTTAATATATCGCGAATATAATTTTCAACATACCGTTATAAGTAACAAAACGAGGAACATCATGCGTTGAGCCGCCACTACGAACACAGCTAACCCAGTCAAAATGCCAAGTAATGTTGTAAGCGCTAAAACTTCAACTAAGCGGACTGCGACAGGCATTTTTATAAATTAATATAACTAAAAATTTGAACGTCCAAAAATTTATTGCAATATTTTCAACTGTTTGGTTATTTTCGAAAGAAATTTGTTGGTTTATTTTTTTTTTTGCTTTCCCTCTCCAAAATATTTCCTACTACTAAACTGTTAATTTGAACATCGAAATAATTGAAACAAATTTTTTGTTGTTGTTGTTGTTTTTTTTTTCAATTTGAAAGAAATTTTTAATAATATTGTTTTTTTTTTTTTTTTTATTTATATTTTTGCCGTTTGAAGGGAATTTTTACAAATTTTGCTTTATTTTTATTTTTTTTGTTATTTTTCAAAAGTAATTGAAAATCGAAATTTTTGAAGTTTGTTTACGCATTTCTGATATTTTTTCTTGTATCAACTCGTTCCGTTCGAATTTTGTTCGAAAGCAACGTTGTCCCATATGTAAAAACATCGAATTAAAATAGATTGCAATAAATTATCGTCCATGTGGGCGATGTGGGAGCGGTCTAATTCACACATATAATGATTTATCTTGATTATAATCTTCTTTTCTTGTATCAACTCGTTCCGTTCGAATTTTGTTTGAAAGCAACGTTGTCCCATATGTAAAAACATCGAATTAAAATAGATTGCAATAAATTATCGTCCATGTGGGCGATGTGGGAGCGGTGTAAGTCACACATATAATGATTTATCTTGATTATAATCTCATGAGATTTAATCGATGAGATTTAAAACATTTGAAAATAATTTACTCATTACTTTGACCTAAGGAATAGAAAATTAAAGAGAAATTCATTTCTAAATATGATAAAATCATAATAACGAAATGTGATACCCTTCACCAAATTCGTCCTTTCATTCGTTATTATCGTTTTTGGTAAAGGGCATCCATTGCTTAAAGGCATCGTCGTCATCTATCTTCTTACTATTGTATTCGAAATTATATTATACGTATTGATCATAATTGCTCTTATTTCATCCGGTTCATAGTATTGTAAGATCCGTAATACAACCTTATATCGATAAATAAACGAATAAGTTGCAATATAATGCGCATATGGTGCACTTACTTATATACTTACGATAGCTGAAACTACTAAGAAAATCGGCCTTATTAGAGCTAATACTAATCGCGTGATCCATATTATTGTATACCATGCGATTAAAAACAGACCTACATAGGAGAGTACAGTACTCATGTCACTCGGTGTGGTTAGATTCCTTCGAGCCCATTCATATAGTAATGTTTGTAGTGGTAATTGCTGCGATATATTAAATGAAGAAAAGCGAATAGTTTTCTTTTCTCTTTTTTAAATTCTTTTCTTTCTTACCTTCCACTCCTCCTCAGTTACTGTCGTCATACAATTTTTTATCATTTTACTTGAAATTTAGAAAATGAAAATATATATATATATATATATGTACATATATGGGAGACGTATTTGACATTAATAGGCGAATGACATACCAATGATATTTCGAATTGGCATCGAATTCGAAAATAAATCATCAAGAAACATATAGTTATTATTATCGGCTGAGAACGAATTTTTTAATATCTATCATTGCACTGCTACTGTTGTTCTTCGATTAATACATTTTGAAACATGTTTCTACATATGCGAGTCCTAATTGCCGCATATATACACGTACACGATAAATATTATAAAGACATTGAGTGCATTTCCGAATTTGACTGGGATCAGTTCATTCTTTTTGATAAAGTTTCGAGTTTCGAATTCAATCTACTAAAAGATACTGTACTAGATAATACATTGTCTCCTGAGAAAGAATGACATATTATCACCTATATATGTATATAAATTTGCAAAATAATTCGTTTATTAAACTTGGAACTATCGATTGGCCGATCAGAATTATTCCTACATTGACTATTCATATAATTTGAAGAACCATTAGATTGCATCAGGATAAACCCTGATCAATATTTCTAATAGGCTGAAAGTAACTGTTTGCTTATGTATTTGTAAAGCGTATACCGCTCATTTTCAATCTTTGAACGTGAGCTAAAAGTGTAGATGCCAAGCTTTGATTTTCCGCCTGCGTATCAATGTTTGCGAATTCAAGCGAATTTCAAGTGCGATAGAATTCTCTTAGGTCGTGCCTATCGGGAATGGTCAATCGGTCAATCACATATCCACAGGATTGCGGCCACCACTTCCCTATATCTTTCTCTTGCCTCTCGTCTTTCTAACAGTCATTGCGCTACATGAATAGAGGACATTCCCTGAGTGATTGGTTTTATTAAGAAAAAAAAAAAAAAAAATTCAAGCAAGAGATGAAAAGCAGGCATACTACGAAGAGTTGAACCGTTTCACATTTATATCTGTGTTAATGTATCGGTCAATAATTTCCGGGACTAGCTAGTTAAGCAAAAATTTTTTTCTTTTTTCGCAACAATCGACATTATTCTTTAGTCGCTTTCAACAATGATATAAACAATCCAAAGCATTTCTAATATTTTCGCGCTTGTTTGATATACTTATCATACGTGTCAAAATCTTCATAATAACTTTTAGTTTCACTAGTGAGTTCATCCTTTCATTGACTGATTTTGAGATTTGTAAATGGATAATAATTGTTCTGGGCCAGATCTGGAGAGTGCTATGGCTGGAGCGGCGATTTGAACTGCAATTCATGCAAGCGAAGACCGCTTTTGCAAGATTCTCATACTCAAATTTTCATATGGTATTCATAACTATGCTTTTTCAGCTGTCTACTACGTTCAGCATTGCGGTTTCCCGTACGACCTAATTTAAAATTAGCCAATTGCCGATAAATTGTTGTTTCCTGTTTTGTAAAAAAAAAAACACTACTATGACCAAAACCATTCTAGCGCGTGCACAAATATGATTGTCTACGATTATATAAATATTTTTTTTAGTGACAATGTCGTCAATGCTGCAGTATAGGCCTGACTGCTTACTGGCGTACATTTCCGTGCCTTACTAACTAAAGGACGAATTCAGTAAATGGAGTACATAAGGATGAATACACGTAAGCAATAAAATGGCTAAATTGAAAAGAACACGCACACATTCAAGAGAAGCGCATGTGCGTATACACTGCTAAACGAAAGTATTCGCATAGGCAAACATCAGTACAAACCCTTGTGCCTGCGCATTCTAATGTAATGAAAAGTATAAAGAAGGAAAATAGAACAGCGTGCATATGGGTCTGTGAGAGATGATGAGAGATGGAAGCACTGCTGCTTATATCAGACGCTGAAATTAAATTCAATCGCTTCCTTTAGATTAAAATGGTCGCCTTACTTTGCGATGCATACGTTATTCGAAATGCTGTCTATTGTTGAGATTATAAAGTTTAACGATCTGTCAACATGGATGGCCATCAATAAATGGTATTTGAGGATTCGAGTCAATATGTGACATATGTGAAATGATGAAAGCACTAATCGGTTCTTTGGTTTCTATTGATATATAGAAAAATTCCACAAAGTCATTTTCTCAAAGTTTCTCCGCCCAGTTTAGCAACGTTTCGATCGAGCTTTGCCTTATTCAAAAATTCAATCAATCTTTGACCACAGATCAATTGAAATTATCATTCGTAATTAATAATTGCAATTAGTTCTTGAAGACGATAATGCACTGTACTTAGTTACTGTTATCTTAAGAAATACTTAGAATGAATTTTCACTATGTTTCTCTACGATTAGGTAAACATCAATTCAAATAAGAAATATATTGAATTCGAATTGGAAGCATAATTTTAATTTAATCTATAAATACGATCTAAAACTGCGTATATATAAAATTGTTCAAAGTCTCATATTTCGCGATATTGAGTAACTCAACTAAAACTTGACCGCAAATTGTCTAGGGCTAAATGTGGATCCGGTTTAACTTCAGCTTATAATTGCTGTTATATTTATTCAACAATGACTGTAATTTCCAATTATTTTTTTATGTCTCTCTATCTCTCTTTTTTCTTCTTCCCCAATGCAGTGCTTACTTTCAACAAGTTAGCCTACTTCTCAATTTCCTGGTTAAACACCCATAATTTTGCATATATATTTACAGGTGAAAATCGCAGATAATCTTTTCACTGTTAGACGCCAAACAATCTAGTCCTAGATAATTTATTCATAGCTATCATATCCACTAATAATGTATTTTCAATATTTGTTTCGGCCAAGAACGTTCATGTTCATTGAACTCGAATCGACAGAATCGCCGATCAATATGCATAACATACTTATTAATTATGGCAATTCTCTTTTGTTATATACATATATACATTGTCGAAAATTGGCGATATACTAAATGTTCCGTCCCGTTTACAACTTTCAGAAACATTCAATACAAACTCAATACTCTATATGCGTCAACGTGAAACTTTTTAATCAATTCATTCAAATTCTTTTGATCATCAGCATATCGGGTTGTTATTGAAAGAGAAATGCAAAAATATTAAAAAAATATGTATGACCCAGCTCAACAACGCCCAAGCCGTTTGAAAGTTTAGCTCGGTTAAGTTCCAATCGTCCAATTGACACGATCACAATCACCGATGCCAAAAGACAGGTGTATATCAGCGGAGTGTAAGGCAACCGTAAATTAGAAATCACCAAAGCGCTGAGATGCTTAAATTCGTCATCGATTTAGATTTCACGATTCGATCTATACCTGTTTGTTCGTCAAAATGTCAATTACTGGAACTGCAATAAAATGTTGTGCTATGCGTGTGGTAAAACCATTTACGATTATGTGGGTGTGTTAACGATTTACTTTAAGGCGAATATAATTCTCTCATACTCTTCTTTTAAATAATACATTCATGCATACGTATGTATGTAATATGTAATTTTTTTTTCTCTTATATTTTGTTATTTAGTAATTAATAATAATAATTAATATGGTGGTATAGCATGAATAAAGGGCAGGATGGTTAAGCATATTGTTTTAATTTAGTTTATTAGTATTTTTTATTTTATTTTTTTTTTTTATACCTGCACATATGTTCAACGTATATGTTTATACGGCAAATATATAAGTGTTTGTATAAGAATCTACAAATTTTAACACATTTTTATCCATAAAATATCGAAGGATGTGAGAATGATAAACAAATTGCTTTGAATGCAAGGCGCGTTAACTTGATGTAGGTTCTAAAACTTATTTACTACATGAAATGTTATTTATATATATATATTTAAAAATAATAGGATTAATGAAAGTTATATCAAATAAAATATATAATAGAATAATAACATAAAATAATATAAAATCAGTAATAACACGAAATTTTTGTATCGTGTACGTATATACTGTTAATTGCAGGATTTTTACCAATTATTTTTGTAACCATCCACAGCATTGTTGAATGTGACAGCAAAGTTTCCTCTTTTTAATAATAATAGTAATAATAATAATAATAATAATAATAATAATAATAAAAAAGAAAACAAACTGCGTCGGATAAAAAAACGAAAACAGCCTGCAATAAAATTAAAACGTTGGAAATTGTCAAAAAAAAAGAAAAAATATTAATTATATCTGAAATAACTTACCTACAGTAGCTACAAATATATGGATGAGAGCAAAAGTTTTATTTGTTCAGATCTGTACGATCTGCTAAGTTTATTTGTTTAAAGACAGACGCTCAACACTAGCGAGCAATTCATCAGCAGTCTGCGAAACTACCTGTTCCTGATCATCGCTAGTACTTAAATTTTGCAAGCGTTTCTCCAAAGCCGAAAGATCATCCAGTTCGCGCTGTTGTTTGACCATGTAACGCAGGATCAGTGTAATCAGCATACACATATCTTCTAGGATCTTGCTATTTTCTGGTGTAGGCTGCTCATAACGAGTGCGCAGTAAGCGTAACTTGGCTTCTGCTAACTCAAGCGGTGATTTACCACCTCGATCGAACATATGAACACTTGCGCCGCCTTGAAGCAGAACGCATACAATAAGGTTAAAATTGTTTGAACTTGCCGATATAACAGCCAAATGTAATGGCGTGTTGCCGACGGAATCTACAACATTTGGATTCGCTCCGAATTTAAGCAACTGCTGTACAATCTGTAAGTAACCGCGACAAGCAGCCAAATGCAGGGGACTACGTTTATGCTCATCGGCGGCGTTTGGATCAGCACCGGACTCTAAAACTCGAGTAAGCAATTCGATATTATTGGTGGAGGCGGCATACCGCAATTTGCGTCCTGTAGATTCGGCAAATATATTGTTGTAACTGAAACGCAAGCGACTTTTAATACATGTACGAGGACGCATCTTAAAGCTGTGACTGCTGGAGGGCAGGGTACTTGGATGGATGATACTGGGCAAATATTCAGATGAGGATGATGTCGTTGAAGAATTGTTCAACGGCAGCGGCGGCAAGTGTGGTAACGCGAAATGATCATCCGAATTTAGATGGAATGCGTTTGGATTGATATTTGGCCATTCGTGCGTATTAGGCGACGAGGTAGGTGTCGGCGGCATTACTGGCGGCGGCGGTGTTATCATTATACCGGCTGTTACACCATCGTTACTATCGTTGCTTGTGTCCACACCAGAATCGTTGGCTGCCATCGTAACTTGCTCGTTCTCTTCCACTATATCCACTATACCGTTATCGTCTCCCTCCAGATTCTCTTCTGGATTTCTGTATTGCTTTATTGTTGCTATTTTGACAATCGAAATTATTACTGAATTATAACGACAATTTATTGTATTTTATATATATTTTCTTTAAGCAAAACCCACAAAAATAAATAAATAATTTCTTTCGTATTTTGGTCAACAAGGAAAAAATTTAGTATTGTGTATTTTGTGTTTTTCTTACTTTTGCTTTTACCTCAATTTTCGTTTTTAAATATGGCAGCATTATTATTGTTTATAAAAATTTTATCCAAATTTCTTTGTATTCCAATTGCAGTAGCGCAAAAACATTACCAAAGTTGCCGAATTAATCGAAATTCATTTTGTATGATTTTTCTCTTTATAAAATATATAAATAACGCTTAACATTCAAAATCAAATTAACTCACTCGATGGCGACAAATAATATTTGTTCCGCGTGCTTAATTTTAAAATTATATAATATTTTTTCGTTGTTTATATCTGCAATATTGCAATTATCATTATTCATTCATACATTGTTAGAAATTCCTTTCGGCCCTTATTCCAGTGTTGAGTAACGGTCTATAATTTCTTTTATTATATTGAATAGAAAAAGAATAAGCGAAATTAACAAGTTCTTAAGTGAACTGATGTCAAGCTTTAAAAACTTAAAAATATGCATATTGAACAAAAATATATACTTATAAGATATGCATAGAAAAAATTTTCTGCCCTTAAATTGAAGTTGAATTTGAAAGAATGAAAGTGTTGGTCATGAAACTCTTCCAATTATGGTATCTTTCATACCTTACATTTCTTGTGGTGCAAGAGTATATTATTAGGGAAAATCTTCATTTCTAATATCGTAAATCTAGAAAGAAAACGATGCTTTTTCACAGAGCTTTCTTAAAAAAAAAAAAAAATTACAAGGCAAGGCACAAGGGCACAATTTTATTTGTTCAGATCTATGCAACACCCAGAAGGACTTAGCGTAGAGGTACATAGGTATTATGCATGCATTGAGTTGAAAGTCGAAACTCTTGCCACTCAGGCGGATAACATGTAAAATTAAATAAGTTTGATTCACGTATTTTCCAAAACACTAAACATCTAGTGAAGATGATAGAAGAGCAAAAGCGACCAAGTCAAGGAAGAAGAATCGGAAACAATTAGGAAACCATTAAAACCATTAAAAAGATTACCAATTTCTTTTATATATATATACCAATTATCCTTTTAAAATGGAACCAACATACACAGAAGAAAGTAACATGTTCCCTTCACATTTTGAAGATTGTGAAAAAAATTCAAAAAGAACATTACTATTATAAAATTCGTAACTTACGGATAACCTGACCTGAAGAACGCCTCGGGAATATAAACTAATTTATAGATTTTATAAAGTGGATTTGTTGTTTTCAAAGTTGTGTACTTACTTTTTATAAAAACTTGATAAGCAAATTCTACACATGTAATAATTTATTATTTTCTTACTAAATTTCTTTAATTCTTTACGGCCTTTCACGTATACAAAGCATTTTTTGACCACCTTGGATCGACATATTAAATGCACAAATGCTGGTGTAAATAGCTTTGCTTGTTTATTCCGCGTCGACGCTGACAGACATTCCTAATAAGTGTGCGTAAAAGTTAATTCATAAAAATGAATGGTATTATAAATTAAAAAAGTACATGTATTTGAGATTGCAGTTCCTTATGTTTTAATACTATTGATGTAAGCATTCATTCTGCACATGTATTCATAGAAATATAAAATGAAACATTTTATATGTGTATATAGCTTTACATAAAAAAAATATAAAAAAAAATCGACGACTTCAATCAATTTAAATATTCGTAGGCATGATTACAACATATTATAAAATGGACGAATATTTAAAAAATAAAAAAACTACATATAAAAAGACATATTGCTAATACTGACTGACACACTATGCGTAAAATTTTTTTTGTCGTTAAACTTAAGTACATATTCACGATTTGAATTGTTGCCCTATATTGTATAAAAAATGAAATCAGTCAAATGCCACTTTGCGCGTAAACGATGTAAGTGATGATATTTCGCTGGGATTCGAATCTGATGGCAAATTACTAAATTCGATTTCTTCATTGGCGGCAGCAGCTACTATGTTCTCGTTGGATTGCGTGGTTTCGTCCGAGTTTGAGCAAGGCCATTGTTTGTGACTAGGGGCGTACAGTATAAGCAACGCAAATATATATATGTTCCACATGCCATAAACGCCAGTTAAAAAAGCTGATGTAAGTTGTATCTCAATGTCCTCATCCCATTTCCAGTGACCTTCCGCTACTTGTCCCATTATAAAGCCTGCAACAGTTAAACCAGCACATAAAAGTGTGGCCATCATTAGGAATTTAAAACGATATATGAGCCCTGCAAAGCCAATATTGATTTTCAAATCTGTCTTAAAGAATAGATTTTAAAGTCGTTACCTTCATAGTGCAAACGTCTGGCAGCTGACATGGATGGCAGTGAAGTTCTTTTAGCGCCAATATTACGAAAAACTTTAGCTACCATAAAGCACAAAAATAGAAAATAAACTCCTGCCGATATGCCTGCCAAAATGATAAAACTTAGAGCAACCTTACTACCGAGGGGTGTAGTCCATATCGAATAAAATGGGTTGCGTAGCTGTACACCCCTCTCACAAATGTCAAAAATGAATAGAGATAAACAACCCACAACGACGGCTGACAAATGTTTCCAATAACGACAACGTATGGAATTCTTTTCTGGTGAGTCTTGGATGAGCATATGTTCGCCAGCGAAAACTAGCCAGAATGACAATAACATTGCATAGAACATGCCTTGGCGAATATCACTTAAAAGCAGCATGTAAGGCATTTCAAAAGTTAATGTAAGAAATTCTAATGGCAGGTTTAAAAAAGTCAACGCACTGCCCAGATAAATGAGCATATATTCCAGAAGAGCAGGTGAACGTTGTAAAATATGAACGCGGCGCCAAAACCACACCATTATACCCACGATGAATGGAAATAGTACCGTTTTCAGGGAAAGCCATACTTTTGTAAAGCCTCCATTTTGATAAATAGCGGTTAATGTTAAATCATGCATGTGACCAACATTCAAATTTAAATGCATCTCCGTATCTATTGGGAAACGTAAATTTAGTAAGTAGTAGTCGTGATGTAATGCTCCCAATTCGAATAGAGGTATCATTTCGCACGAGTATAACGTCTCTAATTGACTTTTATGCACTGGATGGCAATCCAAATAACGTTGTTCCACCGAATGAGAATATAGTCTCCATGCGTTCGGAGCATCATTCTTGCTACGATACGCCAAACGGGTGTCAATGGTTAATTTCAAATCTTTTGGTGGTTCTATTAAAGCGACATCCGAACCATATGCTAGATCTACCTGCAAAACGCCAATTAAGTTCGATTGCCAACGCGAATAGTCTAACCATTTTCCATCGCGAGGTAAAGGCATTTGAAATAAGTAAACAATCTCGTTTGCCATTTTCGTATAGTGACGTTCTATTTCTTCCTGTGATATGGAGGCGCAGCGACCTTCACCACGTGAGTACAACCAAAATGTAGTGTCATTTTGCCGTCCCGGTTGATCTCGGCAGACCATGCCAAGAATATTTTGATGACCGGCCGGTATAGGTGCCAAGAGACCACCCAACAGAAAGCAGGCCACTTGACTAAGTAATAAAACACCTGCCAATATGGATAACTTACGTCCACTTAAATTCTCCAAAATAGTACCAGACATAATGGAATTCCTTCTTGTATGAGCATGCAAGGTTATTTATTTATTTATTTAATTTTTGGTTAATTTATCTCTTAAAAATGTCTTTTTGAACTTAAAATTCAGAAGTTTCACTATACTAAAAAAAAGGTTCTGCACAATTTCCAAACAAACTTTTCAAGTACCTATCGTTGCCCTCGTCTCTGTTACTTTCTTCAATAAATGCGCAGTGCTGCCAGCGTTACAAATAAAAAACTTAACATATGGCTAAATTTTTTTGTAACAGTCGCAGTGTCTGACTTCTAGAGTTCTCTGCATTGATGTATACATATACATTATTTTCAATAAGTTGTTTGTTAGCAAAAAATTTTAAAGAAGTTCTTGTTAGATATGAAAAATGCTTGCACTGTGCAAAAATATTAAAACGTACAGGAAAAAGACTCTTTAAGTTACTCACCATACAATATCAATTTTGGATCTTGTGGATCCCGTCATTTGAATATTATGCAAAGAAATGATATGTGGAAATAAGAAAAATATCTAATAATCTTATCTTTTGGTCATCCGATCTTTCAAATGCGACCCTTTCAAAACTCAATATTTTATCACGAAGTCGTCGTATTTGATAACTTCTACACCTTAGTTAAAAACTATTTTGGTAGATCTCGTTTTGATGATACTTCTACCTGTAGATCTGAGATCAAAATTATGGTATTTTAACTGCCTTCACCTTCAGATGTGGTCCATAATGCCAAATGTCCAAATGACGATTGCAAGAGCGGACGAATGAGCGGAAATAAACTAAAGCGTTTTAAATTAGATTTCTATTCTTAAATGTAGTATACTATTCGGTAACATTTAATGATAGATAAGTCCGGAACTAGAATCATTCGGCATATATATTTTAATATAAAACGAATTGACCTAAAGAAAACAAGTCCAAAATTGCCGTAAATTATCGATATTCTCTTTAGAAAGTTTTTACTACGTCAAGGTTTTCTTAAGCCCAATAATCAATTACAAAGCAATTCCATACTTTCAGATACATTTAGTATACAATCTTTTCTTTATATGGAAGATGAGTCTGTTAAATTTCTTCGTTAAACTGCTGTGAGAATAAAGTTGTTATTGAATGCCTGAACTTTACGTGAATTAAAAAAAAAAAAAATAACTGATGTTCTGGAGGGAGGAAGGTAAAAGTTAAAAGGTTTTCAATCGATCATATTTAGCTATATTGGAGCGTCTCAGCAATAATACAATAAATAATATATATAATTTATGTTTGATGTGCTGATTATTTTCAGTTTAATTTATAGAAAAAATTATTAAATTTAAGTGAGACAATTTCAATGTTAATTGTATTTGTTAAACTAATTTAATGATAAGATTAATTCATATAAATAAACATACACAAATATATCACATAGCAAATTAAAACAAACTAAGAAATCTATGTAGCCTTTTGTTGCTAACTTTTTATACCCATCATCGCAAATATCGCATATGAATATGCCGGTGCTTTCCAAGTTGCGAGTAAGTCTGGGTACTGTATCAATTTGACATTAATCGATTATGATTCGGATAAACATTATTATCAAATTTCGAGATCCGTTTCATTTTGCTTCGAAGCTTAAAAATCACGAATTGCATTTGTATAACTTGAAAAATCCCAATAACATGTTTAGATATATAATTAAGAAGATTCAAAATTGCAACTTGGAGAGTTTGCGAGCATTCTAAACGATTTAACAAATATACAGAGAAATATATGCGATCTTTCAACTTGAACTTATAGATAATACTAGGAATACTAGCTATACATATTATCTGACTTAACAAAAGAACTCAGTTGCCATTAATAGGTTCCAGAGAATATTATATTGCTACGGTGCACAAAAAAAAAAAAAAAAAAAAAAGAATGTAAATGTTTTAATTATATATTGATTGATGACTGCATATAAAATTGAAATAGAAACAATAAATGACGAAGGTTTAGAGACCACTCTTCTTAATTCAAGTTTTAAAAAAATTTAAAATATTTTTTGCTTCGTGCTATGTTTACTTTGTTTTCCAAATTAATCATGTAAATTATACTTTGATTTATATGAACAACGATTAACACGACAATAGATGATGTGACTTATGTTGTCTTCAACAATATTTATGCTAATGGTCTGATTGATTGACGAAAACGTCTTGACAAGTCTATATCCTTCTTATATGCTATTTCAATAAGTTGATCATTTCCATGATTTTGTTGCGATTACTATGCATATAGGCCTTGGTACACCACAACATGTTAATCAATTTTTGATCATTCTTCTCGTCCATGGCAATATCTTCGGATAGTTGCGGATTAAATCTGTGGCAAAAAAAAAACAAAAAAAAAGAATACCGTCAAAGTTTAACGAAATGCAATTATACTATATGGATCGAAAACTTCCGGGACCTTCTATAAGACGACCTCTATCCTAAATGTTTTTAAAATACTAGACTGCAAAAGATTCGCTATAAATTTTTATATGAAATTTAATTTTTATTAATTTGATGCTTTTTAAGTTTTTTTGCGAAAGAAAGAAAACTAAATCGAGATTTGACATAATGTGTCACAAAAAATACGGTTCAGATTTTACAATGACGATGCTTTCGAAAATAATTGTTGGCAATGTTTTAGTGAATTGAATGCTGATGCACGATCTAAACGTCCATAATGTGTAAAAAAAAATTTCCAAATATTTCAATCGTTTCAAACAGCTGCAATATAATTATAACCGTTGGTGTTACGCAAACATAGCAAGTGATGTGTGTATGTAAATTGGACGTTGCTTGTACTTACTGGTTAGTAATTATGAAAAGCAACATATGTCGTAGAGTTTGTTTTCAAACTATTCCGTTGCTATTTACAACACCTCTACATGCAGACATATGGACCCGCTTGGGATTACCCAAGGCGGTGTAATCGACGTCGTGGATTATTTTGAGCAATATAAGCGTCATAGCAAGTTTTTTTCAACGGCAATATTGACAAGTGAAAGGGGATCCGGATATTAGTGAATGTGTTTTTTGATCAACCAGAAAATTAAGCAAAGTGGATAAAACTTGAAAAGAATTTTGGATAAAAAAAATGTGAGGAGCACAAGGAAATTGCGCGAAATAATAGAGAAATATAAAAAAAACCGGTGGCCGGACAAGAAAATTTTCTGATGTGGCAAACGTTACAATTTGTTTGCGATTGGTGATCCCGGGACGTTTTACTCCGCATAGTATGAAAGTGCGTATGTGTGTATATGTACAAAACAAAGATAAAAAAAAAAAAAAATAATAAGAGAAAATAAAAGCAATAATAACAATACCTATAATATGGTACACCAATAGTACTACACCAAGCTCGAGCGCGATCAACAACGCGACCATCTGAAGCAGTGGCTTGATCAACAAGCAAATTACCTTAAAGGATAGCGAACTCTTACGTTGGGTATGTTAAAAGGATATGATGCGGCAATATTGAATGCTTACCAATCGTCGATATACCATAGGCCAACTTAGCTGTGTCCAAAATACTTTCAGGGCGAAACACATCAATGTCTTTCAATTCAGTTACGGGTATTTGACCGGTACCCAGTGAAACGACGACAGAAATCTGAAATTAGTTGGTTCTCTAAGTGGAATTTAAGGGATAAGTCTTCTTAATATTTACCGGTATTGCTTCAGAATCACGTCCTACACTACGTAGGGCCATATTGTATTCATGGATTTCGGTCATGGCGTCTAACGTTGGATTGTTGGCAATTAGACCACCGTCCAGGAAGCGGCCAAAGGCTCTGCAAACAATAATTAACAATAAATTAATTGTTCAAATATCTTGCGGGTTTCAAATAACCTAAAATACGAAGGAGCTGCTCCAGTGGCGCGAGCAGCGCGCCATATAAGCTGGTCTTCTGGTGGCGGTGGTGGAACACGTCGATTGGCTAATTATTTGAAAACAACAGACATATCAGTAGCTTAACGGTGAACAAAAATAATTGATAAGCTATTATACTCACATATCGGGGTTACGATGCCTAAAATTTCACTGGCACACTTGTAATTTCGAAAAAGATGCAGATCAACAGGTCTGCGATCGGCCATAACTCCAGTAACCATTACTTTAGGGTGACTAATTTCCGCCATTGCTGCAAATTCTCCCAAATTCTCTTTGAGAATATTTTCAAAGTTTTCACTCGGATAAGGTCGAGAACCAACGAAACATTGTTCTTTCATGCGCAAGTAAAGGCCCATACATTGACGCATTGACCTGCCAACGCCCAAACCTAAAGCTAATATACCACCTGTACTAGTGCCAGCAATCCAATCGAATAGGTGTATAATCGGGGTTTGGGAAAGCCTTTCTATTTCTAATAACATTTGTACCAGGACTAAACCACGAATTCCACCGCCATCGAGACACAAAACGCGACCACGAGCATGTTGTACATCGCCTCTCTCAAACGCGTGAGCGTTAAAAGATGGTGCCGATGATGTGGGTGACGCCATATTTTCTAGGCTGCCCAGAGCGGAGTTGGCATCTCCACCCGAACCACTTGCCACACTGTTACTACCCGATTCTATGGAAAATAAAGAAGTGTGTGCACAATGTCAAAATGAAGAAAACAACTGATTCGCCTATACCTTTTTTGGACTCGGTATTAACTTTAGAAGTAAACATTCCAAGTAAAGCGTCCATAATACTTTGACCTTTTTGTTCCTTTTCGGTATCGATAACGACAGTTTTGTTGCATTTGCTTAGACGAGAATGAAATTTTGTTCAATATATTTGCATATGTTTTCCTTATTTGGACTTACTCCATATCTTGCATGTCGTGGCATGCGTCTGCTGCAACAGAGACTAAGAGTCCGCCGAAAGCCTGACGACTGGTAGTAGCTAACATATTCTCAATATGTTCACGCGATTCGACCGACTCGGGAGCTTCTGGGGGAATGCCGTTGTAATTACCTGTAGAATTACAGCCGGGTGGACATTTCGTGTTTGCGGAAGGGCATCTATAACGAAAGAAATGATGAAAAAATGAAATTCTCATTGAAAATATACGATGACTTCTTTTTACACGAATTGGCTTTTCTTTTTCTTTTTTCGTAAGTAGAGCACAAAATAATTCAGAGTATTTTACGAAACTGTACTCTTTCTTCTTTGAATTATGAAATTTGCAAAACTTTGTTTATTTTGAAAACTCAACTTAATTATAATATTTTCAAAGAGATTTATATACTGTTTTCTATTCACTTCGTTTACCGTTTCGCTCCCACCGAATGTAGTATGTACAATATTTCATCTTCTTTCCCGCCACTGGCATCTTGACCAACCATATGTCGTGGTGTTTCACCCCTATTGTTTTTTAAATTTATATCGGAACCGAAAACGACCAAACATTGTACGATAGGCACTAGCTTCTGATCGATGGCGATATGAAGCGGCGTATTTCCGTCCTTATCCCGAATATCAATTTCAGCATCATGAGCCAACAATGTGACGACACATTCAAACCGGTTACGAGCAACCTGAATGAAATTTGGTTTTATAATAAGAATCAAATACTGAACTTAATTATGTTATCTTACCATTACATGCAGGGCAGTGCGTCCGTCGAAATTTGTGGCGTTTACATCGCAGCCTTGCATTATAAGAGCATTGAGTGTATCGCGCGAAGAGCACCAATGTAAAGGTGTACCACCGTATTTCATATCTTGTGAATACAATTTGTTGTCGTTTTGTTTTAAGAATGCTGCTATGGATGTGGGCGTTGAAATTTTGCATAGCTTGGAGACATTCTTGGCGCTAAGATTTACATCGGCTCCAGCTAATAGTAAGGCCGTTACACAATCTTTCTTATCGGCGAGACAGGCCAAATGTAGCGGTGTATAGCCGTCTGAGTTGAAATGATTCAAGTGCACTGTGCTTTTTGCAGTTAAATGCTACATACAATGTTATAATATTCAAATTTGTTAATTCGCTTAAACACTTGAACGCTAGAACTTACATTTAAAATTTCCTTATTGGTACTGGCGGCATAATGAAACACTGAATTACTATTATTATCCAAATGTTCCATTTTACATAGCGGCGAGAGGACTTTGACCATTTCAACATTTCCCGTTTTTATTGCCAGCTAATAAAAAATATAAGGTTTATAAAAAAAAATAAAAAATAAATTTATAACTCGAGAGAATAGAGAAATGTTTTACCTGAAATGGTGACATCAAATTTATATGATCCGCATAGTCGATGCACTGCAAAACTTTCGGATTGCTGATATAGTCAACCAAATTGAAATAGGCTATCAAATGAGTTAGAGACCAGGAAGGGTTCTCCGTTAAGATATCGCACAATTTCTGCAATCCATTAACGTTATAGAACTAGAAAAAGCATAAGCGCTTTAGTGAAAAAGAAAACGAAAAAAAAAAAAAAAAAAAATGAAGAGAATTTAATTTGCCAACCTCTTTAACAATGCTAACAAATACTGGTAAACGATGCATAAAAGTATTGAATTTCTCTTCCGTTTCGTGTTGATTTGACGAACGATATAAACTGAATGACGTGGTATTCGAGTCAGTATGCGGTCTTTGCAGAACGATTTCATAACTGGCTTTCTTTTCATTAGAATTGAACGGTGGTGCAAACAAAACCATTGCATCGTCACGTGCCAAAACTTGTAGTGTGCCTAAAGATTCGCTTTTGATTTCCAGCACCTTGTTGGAAGGATAATCACCTCCCAATAAACGCTGCAAAGCTAAATTTCGTGAAGAATAAAAAATAGAATTTAATTTTTTGTTCTTCAACCGCCGGCAACATCTACTACTACTTGAAAATAAATTAATCGATGATAAGAAGTGAACGGGAATATATTAAAACAATAAATAAATAAATATGTTTTTTAAATACCATAGCCGGATGCTAATATTCCAAAAGACATCCAAGACATTTTGTTATTGGTTTCGTCGGCGGTACAATTATGATTTTGATTCCGAGTTCAATGAGTATGAAATTATCGCAAGCGATCTGCATTAGTTTCTAGTGAAATGAATGATGCGATGAAGCGATGACGACAAAATAATAAGATGACATGACGCGTGAAAATAAAATGAAAAATTATTTACAAAACATTTCAAATCAACGAGGAACCTTTAAAACAGAGGTGACCAACTTTTGTTTTTTATGATCTTGACATTTCATCTATTGATATCTGAATTTCCATCGAATTTTCGAATTCATTTGTTGGCCATGTCTGCTCTAAACAATGTTTCTAATATTAATCTAGTGTTAAACTAATCAATCAATATTCTTGTATAAAAATATATTTCTTTATGTCGTCAATTTTGATAAACATTTTCATGTTAATTTTTATATTGCCTATATAGGGACTTAAAAACCCGGCTAGATCCTGTACGGGATATTTCAGATATTTCACTCATTTTCAAATCAATATAACTTTTGACACAAGCAAAGGATTAGGACACTATATCCATTAAACACTCAGATAATAAACAATCGTGTTTCCCGATGTAGAGAGATCAACATAATTTAGTGGCAAAAAAAACGGGGAAAACTTTTACATCACCTATTAGATGGAAATGGAATGGAATTTCAAGAGGAATTCAAGAGTCTGCCTGAAAGGCTTATGAATATGGGAACTGACGTAGATATGTCTGCTTGCCTGCCTGCCTGCTAAAATCACAGTTATGACCCTAACATTTGAACTAAGAGAAGAAGTATTGCATGCTAAGTTTATTTTTGCCACTCTCCTCAGTAAAATTGGGATAAAATCTGATCGTTTCCATCTTTTCCTTAAGTTATATCTGCAAAATTGTAGTGCTTTTGTTTTACTTCTCCCAATCAACATCAAAAACCTTTCTAATTGAGGTGAAGGATTCGCGCTCATAATTCCCAAAAAAAAAAAAGAAAATCTCTAACATTTATATATGGTATAAGCGGAGCATCTAAATATCCTTTTTTAGATTGAACAATTCACAATAAAGTGAGTTATTATATTGTCCAAAGATATGATCAATATGTAATGTGAAGACATCTCCTCTTTATCTTGCTATCATACGTCTTAAGATAGGAAGCGAATGCTAACAGATTTAATTTAAAGTCGTTTCTTAGCGAAGGAGCGAAATAGAAAATGGCAGATAATAAAAAAATCCATGTTTTACTTGCACGTACTAGCTAATAAAAAACTGAGGCATGAGGCGGTCCATATAAAACTTTGTACCATATACGATACGCTATTACAAAGCTTTTAATATATAACCTACACGCTTCAGGTTTTCTCACGATATTTTGCAAGCATGTTCTTAATATTTATACCAATTTTTATTAGAGCGAGACAATGTCTCGGTTAAAAAAAGGACAATAAAATTTCGCTTAGAAACTCTTTCTTCGTAAATTTACACGATTTTCCTCCTATCCAAACTGCTTAGGGATAAATCAAGTGTGAAAAGTATGGACATAGTATCCACTTAAGAGAGCGTCCTTTGAAATAAATTGCCAAAAAGATAAAATTGCAGGTAAATTGTAGGTAAATGCATATTTTGAATAACTGCATAAACATATTTAGATGTGGTATTACGACCTAAATGTGAACTTTTCTTATTCTCACTGAAGCCGTATAGTAGCGTTCCATTAAATCGCCACCTTTATGTTCCGTACAGTTTTTTCATGTGTGTGTGTTGTTCGTTCTTCTTGGTAAAAAAAAAAAAATAAAAAATTCCTAACTCTAGCAAGATACGCATGTAGATGCATTGTGCCATTAACTGAAGAAACATAATCAATACTTAGTTTTTTTTTGTCCGCAATTTTTTAAAGCAACTTATAAATGAAAATGCTGAAGCTCTAGTTGAATTACAACGCTAGTCCGAAACAGTCGAATCGCTTAAAATTGAGGAGGGAAAGGATGCGTTTCAAAAGGAATGTTTTCGTGGGAGGCTGTATTAGGAGGTTGCTTTTATTTTGACCATTTTTTCACTGCAAAGACATTTATTGTGAACAATTGGTTAATCACAATTTTTTCCCATCTTTCTGGAAAGATTGCGATATCGTGAACTTATATTCGTTTAGCAAGGATCCACACACCGACCCATTTTCGCTCTTATTCAACTTTACGGACTTTGCGAGAATAAAGGGTCTGCGATCAGCGCGCCCGTGCGGCTGAATTTTCAAAATTCTTAAAGGAACGCACACAAATACTTATTTCTTTCACCCTTTCGAATCGCCACCTTACGCTCGTACGTATAGGGGATTTTTATATAATATTAAAAAAAACAGAATAATTAGAGAAATATGCCTTTTGCTCTGAAAAATAACGCGATCCCCTAGCGTACCGTGTGGCAGCATTTTTTTAAAGAATTTTTACATGATCGCAAAGAAATTTTCCTACTTATGGATTATGGATATGTAAATAAATCTTCTTCTTGTAGGCATGCCTTTTGCAAATTTAACCTAATCAAAAAACAGTTATATTTTATTGATTTTCTGACTAATACAAATAGAATGACGAAACTAATATTATAGAGATTAGTATGAGGGTACTGCGAGTCAGGCAAAAGCATGTAATGAGTCAGCACCAATTTCACTGCACGTATATGCTGATTAGGTGTTATAATTATTGAAAGTGTTATTCATGTTCTTTTTCTTTTCTATTACTTTTGTGTGTTACTTATTAACTGTACAATTTTTTATTTTTTTTCAATTATTTTCTCAGACATGAATGCATGACTCTTCAAAGAAGACTTTTATCTCTTATCAACTATTATGTAACATCCAAAACTTCGGATCAGAAATTTAAGAAAAAAAAAAAATATATATATATATATATACATATAGGGCGAAACTCGGTGGATCAACGATGATCTCTTTGCTCGCCACCTTTTGGTATTTTCTAAAGGGAAAAATGCAGATATAATCGATCGCTAAGCGAGAAGAAAGAAAACATAAAAGTTTTTATTATATGCAAGAATTCAAGTTTATATATACATATATTTACATTTTGATCGGCATTAACTCAAATATGAGTGGTATTTTAATTTTGCCCTAATCGTGAAAATACATTTTTATATTTTCTCTTTTCTTCAAATACAATATGTTAAGAGAACTACATAATATTCAAAGTACCGTATGGCCTAGTGGCTAGGGCATCCGGCGTATACCCGGAAGACAATCCTAAATTCGATTGCTGGTGCCTTAGTACCATAAATTATATTTTAATTACCTATATATTATAATAATAATAATAATAATAATAATGCATTACATATATACATTGATTACATTTGAAAAGCAATTTTCTATGCTATTGGGTATTTTAGTAAATTGTCGCCTCTCTGTACCTTTTTAGTATATTTAATTTTATATATTGCTTGGCAATAAGAATATTTACAACTTTCTTAATACTTTTAACGTAAAGAACAAAGCATTTTGAGACATGTTTTGCTTTGATCTATGCTAATAACTTGCTTAAGTAAAATTCGAGAAAAAGTAAAGATCAGGTAAGAATAAGGTATTTTTGCATATTTAAGCTGGTGTAATTAATAATAGAATAAAAATTGCAATTGCGTGCAGTAATTGCGGATGGGAAACTTAGCAATAGTCACTTTAACCAGCCACTAATAGGTAGGATAAATTTTGCGTCTCTTCAATTGATTGCATGTAATCGAGTTTAGAATGTTTTTATTTTTACCGAAATAAAGCTTATATAGCTATTCTGCATTTGTTATATATAGTTTATAAGTTACTGTTGAAACGATTTTTAAGTTTTTTCCTCTCTTGTGAAATAGTTTAGCTGGCACATTTGTTATTTTAATATTGCAAAACTTACAACAATTTCAAGTCAATATTTTTTAGGGTCAACAATGCAGATGATAAGAGAGATTGCAAAATTTTCACTTGATTCAATTAAAATCGTTCTAATGAGGAAGTGTTATTACTTTTCAATAGCATCGATCAATTTACGAATTGATATAATTATTGATAATAAAAATATTTACTAACCATTCAACATATTATTATCTAATTATTTCACTTATATTTTATTCCTTTTTTCATACGACACTTTGTTATAATGATATTTTCTTCAATCTTATTTCATTTCGAGCAATTATTGACTTTTTATTTGTTTTTCCTTTATTTGTTTATTATTTTACGAAATTCGAAAAACTGTGCTTTTGTATTTTTTATTTTTTTTTTTTCTGCTTTTTTTTCTAGTAAACTATATAAACTATTGTAATTGCAAATTTTTATTTTTGCTTGGTCTTCTTTTCTACTACCTATAATTACGTAGATGAAAATAACAAACAACAAATTGTGACTGAACTATGAAAACAGCTGATGTGAATAGAAAACCGCTATAAAAAGAATTTATGGTATTATAACAATAGTTATCCACGTATTCGAAGTTCGAATTATTTCATGTTACGTAATTGCTTCAGCAATTAAGAAACTATTGCGTAAAACTGCAAGAAAAACTTTTAAAGCAAAATATGCCTTCTATTGTGAACAAGTAGAAAAATCATATTCGGTCGTGATCAAATCTTTAATACCCGTCAGCGTTATCTTAGGAAAAAGAAAAACAAGTACATTTTAATACATTACTATATTATTGAATGGGCGCTGTTGACTTTTTTCTGTTTTTACAATAAAAGTAGAAATTTATATGATGTATATGTTGTTGTTTTTACGTATGAGGTGTTCACAGTTTTTGTTAAATAGACTTGTGGGGTTTATGGGGGTGTTCTTTGATTAGTTTGGGTCACTTTCAAAACCTTTTACAAGTTTGTAAGCCATATCTTTATTTTTGCGAACGGATATTACACAGTTCCACTGGTGGATAGATGGACAGATGAATGGACGGACATGTTTAGGTGCATTGTTAATTTGAAACTGTCCAAGAATTCATATACTTTATGGGGTTTTTAAAGTTTGCCTCTGCATGTTATATAATCTTGAGTCAGCGTGGTCAATTGTCCCCATTTCTGCACATATAGTACAGCATCGCCCATAGATTATACGTTCAAATTTTTGTAAATTTATCTGCCATATTTTATGAGCAAAGACGATATATTCAATTTTCTATTCCTTTGGAAAGACAGAGATGTCTTCACTTTACACGGTAGTGTGTGTGTGGGGGTGGAGGGGCGTATTTCGACCGATTTTGCCCATTTTTAATAACAACCTGCATGCAAGAACTTCCAATATTTCTGACAAATTTGAGCTCGGTAGCTTCTTTTTGGCGGCCAGGAGAATATTTACAACAAACGAACATACGGACTTGCTTAAATCGATTTAGAATTTGATACTGATCAAGAATATGTATACTTTATGGGGTCTCTGATGCTTCCTTCTGGGCGTTGCAACTCTTTTACGAAAAAGAATATACCTCTCATTCTTTGGTGATGGGTATAAAAAATTAAATAATTCATTTAAACATTTTACAAAATTTTATTTTGTGCACTACTGTGTGTCTTATTAGTCGATATATGTTATATATATGTCGTCGTCGTATATATGATATAGATCCATTATTAACCTTTGTGCCGTTTCATATGGTTAGTCTTGTATCCTTTTTCATAAAAATTACTATGAGTGGTATTAATGTCGATTTTCACATATTTTCTTATCGCATTTAATTTAAACGAAAACTTTTTTAATTTGCAGCCGTATAAGAAAGAGAAGATAAGTGTCGAAATTTCAATTGATATGTAGATCTAAAGGGATAATAACCAAATAAGTATTAAATATCAACTATCCGGTTGGCGAAAAACATAATTAAGTCGATCATACGCTGATTAAAAGTGAAATTATCGTCATTTTGCGTATAAATAACTATTTACGCAATTTGATGATGTAGTTCCCCGTAAAAATATCTGAATTTGTCCAATTGAATATATATTTCTCTGGAAATTGAAAGTAAAATTTGTAGAGTAAACATTTCTAAATATTAGAACTTTCTTTTTTCAATTATATAAATAAGTAAGTACAAGTGTATTTTTGTTATGTATGTACATATGGTAGCGGCAGAAGATTTATCAAATATTTATAATGCAAGGGAATACGCATCACGGGCTTTATAATGTGAGCAGCGGAATGGATTTAAGTGATCTAGTCGATCAGTTGCAATTAGAACTGCGGACTTGATCTTACTTTGTTTTATGACCTAACGGTCATCGTTATGTTCAAGTGTACGGAGAGGGTGGAGTTAAGATGGAAAGCCAGTAAGTAAAATTTGGTTGATGAACTCGCTCGCAATTCTTAAAAAGTTGATAACATTGACCTTTTCCATAAGTTACGAATGATCTTTTTCAGAGCAAGTAAATTGGATCCAAAATTTTCCATCATTCAAATCTACGAATTAAATTCGTAAGTCAATTAGGTCCAAATATAATTTTAATGTATAAACGTTATCGCCGCTTTAGTTACTCTATAAAAAGTTTTTTACTTGAAGTAAATATTTTGTTGGAAAAGGTTAGGATTATCCGTTTCTTGATGAGGAAGACTTTTCTAAAAATGAGAGAGATTTCGTTTTTTCGACACGTTATTGCTTCATAAGGACATTTCATGGCCTTCCATTGTTCGTGTTAGATCAATAAAATTTATTTTCCTGCTTGATTTAAAAAAAAATTGCAAAAGTTGTGAAATATATCTAATAGACTTCTCAGGGTAGCTATCAATGGCATGTGTGCGGTGCTTCATTTATACACTGAAATTTTCGACTATTTTGAGAAATATTTGAACCATAATTTGCTTGGGTTTATTGGGTTCATTAATTATTAATTCTGAGCATATTTGTGCTCTGATAGGGTTTACTTTTGCTTTGCTAAATATTTATATTGCCTTTCGATCAATAGGTGTTATGACTTATGAGTTCTAATTAACTACTTACTGTGGACGTCTCACCTGTAATTTTATAGAGTTTTTATTCATTGTTCAATAAGGTCTAAAATATATAAATATATATGAGAATACCGTTTTTTTTTTTTGTTTTTTGTAACATTCGTTTACACTATATACGTAATCAGTAGAATAAATATTTATGCAGACATGATATATACTGCGTAAAGATGTGTGTATCGACTTACTTATAAACCGATATATCGACTTACTATAAAACTTATTAATAAACCATTTGAAAGTTGATACTGGCTTGATTTAAGTTACAATCTTCTCATATATGCTCAGCATATTTTAATGAAATACGAATAAATCAGGCGAAGTGATATTATTGTGTTCGACCAACATATGGCTAAATATTATATATGTATATATATAAACAATAATTAGAAACACTATGTTCTTTCGACGCGTACCTTTAGAATGAAACATATAGAATCATAAACCAAATATGCCATTTCCCAGCAATATAGATTTGTATTAAACATATTCGTTATGGGAGTACTTATCCCGTTATTTATATCATATACACGAACACATCACGAACATCAGTTAATTAATGTGATGCAGAATTTATTCGTTGAAGAAGCTTTGAACTATCAAGATGTGGTCCACGTTAATTAGATTCGCAATTGTTTTAATATCGGTAGCCTTAAATGCTTCGCAGCCAAATTATACTAACTTTAGTATTTCAAGTCGGATTGTCGGTGGCGAACCGGTAACAAATAACCAATTTCCATGGCAAGTTGCTTTGCTTTATGGAGATAGTCTCGTGTGCGGCGGTTCAATAATAAGCCTACATTGGGTTGTAACGGCAGCGCATTGTATATTTGCAAACGTTGAATTCACTGTACGAGCTGGCTCGAATTCTTATCAAAAAAATGGCCAAACTCGAAAGGCTAAAAAAATTGTTATAAATAAACGATTTAATGTAGGAACTATGGACCGCGATATCGCGTTGATTCTTCTCGATTTGCCTTTTACTTTAGATAAAGCCGTACAGCCTATCCGTTTGGCTAAGTTTAGAAGAAATTTACCTCCAAAACTGGTGGTCAGTGGTTGGGGTTTAATAAATGAAACCTCCACAACATCTTCCAATGATCTTATGGCGGTAACAATATCTACAGTGACACGGTCAGAATGCCAAAAAGCATATGGCGTAATTAAAATAACAAAATATATGATTTGTGCGGCAGATCCTAAAAAAGACGCTTGCGTAGGAGATTCGGGTGGGCCACTATCTTTTGGAAATGAACTATTCGGCATAGTATCGTTTGGTGTTGGATGCGCACGTTCCCACTATCCCGGTGTATATACATATGTGGGAAGACAAATTTTTTGGATTAAAAAAGTGATTTCTGAATTTGGCGGTTCAATGCCAACATTTAGTTAAGGTTATGAAAATGTTGAAATGTAAATGAAAATAATTAAAAATAAATGAGTTGGAGCATTTTTTCGAAAAAAAAGTATTGTGTCAATGACAAAGGAAATTTTGGTCCGATCTATTTAATTAAATCTCTGCCTCTATATATGGTAAGTAGTTTCGCATATTTAATTAAGAAAGTCGTTGAAGTTCGAACGATTTTCATATGAAAACCTTATAGGAGTTAATAATGCTAACTACACGCAGATATAATGACTTTGGCAATTTACACGAAAATTGTAAGGCGTTGAAGTTGTCAGGTTTTAAATATTGCATTGTGAAAAAAGATACGAAATTTATAGTATTTTACAAATTTAATACTCTTTTCGTTGATATCAGTAATTGTAACAACAATCAAACATGATAATGAATCTTCCTCAGACAGATATGTTATTAACGATATATTTGGCTTTTCAAAGCATTTGCCTGAATTAATTCAATATATATATTTAAATGAAAACGGGAATATCAGTTAGAGAGCTGACGTAAAGGGACGTTATTCTTATTTTCGGGCTAGGGCTTCAACTTTACCGACTGTTCACAAAACTTTATGGGAATTGACAAATCCCATATGTTTTTGCATGTATATAGACATATAAAACGAAACGACAAAAAGCACACGCCGAAATAATGATAGTTTTTTTTTAATTTTAAGATTATTTATCTAATTTATGCTTGTCTTACACTAATGTACATTATTTTTTATATTATCTCATTTCAAATTTTGGTTTATATCATAAGTTATTTTGTAAGAAATGGAAGAAAAGAAATAAAAACAATTTATTTTAAAGTTGAAATATATTCATATTGATGAATATCAATTTGTTTAAGTAGAGAGTGATAAATGATTGTTTCAAAATTATGAATGAATTAATATACAAAAATGTAACTAATGTACATGTATATATATATATATACAATCATTCTTCTTTACCATTAATCAATAAACAAGTTGATTTACTTTTATGTTAACTTTCTTATTGTTATTTTTTATATAGTTTATAATTTGTTCTTTACGTTTATGTCGATTTCTTATATTTGGTTCTAAAATCATATGTTTTTATTTACGTTTTCCTGTGAAACAATATGGTAGCGCGGCTACCCATTGTGCGCTTTACCACTTGAAAGTGTTTAATCCGAAAACGAAAATGATGCCTCATTGTATCAATCCCCTCACGATTACAATCCCATCATTATAAAGACTTATGGATGATGTAATTGCTCCAAATAGACCAAGTGTATAGTTGTTTTCAAAAAAAAGTTCTAATATTGCCGATTATACATTACAATGAGTCGATCTGGTAACATAGCTTGTATAATTGTCAATAATCTTTTTGCCTTCCGAATAGCAATAGACTGGCATCTCTAAAGGGAGTTGTTATTTCGTTTTCGAACGGCAGAGGAAAAAACTTAAAGAAAATCATTATAAATATTCGTCGCCCAAGTATATTTTTAGAATTAAGAATACATTTTGGGAAGAAAGACAATAAATTTGGGAAGAAAATTAAAAATCTAAAAGCAAAATATTGTATTAATTTGTTATAGTATTATTGGATTTGATAAAGTAACAAAATCAAAGAAAAGTGGACCAATTATTTTTGTGCTCCATAAGGATTGAAATCATGAAAGAAGGATTTCTGTTGACAAGTAAGTAATGTTCTTGATCATGAGGACGTCACTGTGATTGAATCCCACGGGTAACGTTTGTGCTAAGTGCAAAGGAAATTAAAATGAAATCACCGAAAGTGTGATCGTTAAGTATGTAAAACTACATGTGCACAGTTCTAACTTATGCATAGTTCGCAAATACGGGTTGATTACGAAACGTATACTTAGCTCTTTATATTGTCGCCTCGCAAATCAAAAAAAAAAGAAAAAAAACCAACATATGTAAAATACAAAAAAAAAGTAGCATAATATAATAAGCGCTTCTTATTTACTGCAGCAAACCCTTCAGTTAATAACAATCTCCTCCTTGTTTTCATAGGTGCCGCTTAAATCCCCTTGGAGTCGCGTTTTTATAATACCATATTCAACTTTTTTGTGTGTTTGTAAAATTCATGCTCCTCTTATATATTAATTCTTTGCATTATGTACTTATTTGCGTTTTCTCATATTTGCAGCTCGGAAAGACAAATTTAGCCCATTGTAATAATTGGTAAATTATTAAAGTACATATAATAGTGCTTAAGCAGGAGTTACAAGTTATTGGAACGTTTCAACGCCTTCTATAGGAGAAAGAAATTTTTTTGGGGCTGTCTTTAGCTTGCATTTCCCAGGACGCGACCTGTGGATAATTAACTTTTCTTAATTTTCCAAAAACACGAGCCTCTACAGTATGCAGAATGTTTCGAACGGTAACAATGATGAATCCAGCACTGGAGCTGGCGGCAATGGTAAAAGACCTAAAAAAGGCATATTAAAAACTTCCAGTAGTTTTGATCGTACCGGTGCCAGGTAAGCCATACAATGTTGGGCTCTTTGAATTATTTTTTAAGATACTTAAGTTGAAACTAATGCATGTCCATCAGATCTAATTAAATACCTAAGGAATCGTACATAAAATTTGGAAAAGAGAGGGGAGCGGTTTCGTTTCTTATATAAATGCTTACCAGGCGCGATGAGAATTACCGAGTTTAGTGTACGGGATCTTCGTGTAAATTGTGTAAAGTAATTTCACGTAAACATGGACAAAGTAATAAAAAATTTAAGAGGAAAAGGTAGACTTATGCAAAAAATTATAGCAAGTTATTGTTAGAGTTTAAATCTTGATTAGCCACGAAAACGTGACACATTTCGGGCATAAAAAAAAAAAAAAAGTTTTTTTATTAAGTAAATATATAAGTTAATATATTTTTATATGCGTCAATTTTTTCACAACATTTTCTGACTTATTGCGTACATATTTACGTATAAATTTACAAAATATTTGTTATTGTAATGTAATTAGCTAAAGAAAGAGACTTTAATTTGGGTAAGAATGAAATTTGATGAAACTGCAACTTGAGCTATAGGAATGTAGAATAAACTGGTAATGTTCCCCTGATTTCCGGAAATGAAAACAATACTGGTGGACATTTTTCACCTTGTGCCGGTTTATTGTCGGCTTTTCTATGTATACTTTTCTATGTATACTTTAAAAATGTGTTTAATAAATATTTTTTGCTGAACTTTTATTATTTATTATTAATTCTTTTTTTTGTTTGCAGTTGCCGTAAGAGCGCAAAATTCGATGAATTAAATGTATTGCAAACCTTCCACCCGTCAGATAAGGATTATGGGCATATGAAAATTGATGAACCAAAAACCCCATATAATTATATCGACCCAGATCCGCAGCGTGATCAGCTAGATGCCGAATTATTAGCCGAAAAGTAAGAGAAAAAAAAAAAAAAGTTGTTCGAGGTAGACCAGGTTTTTAGTATTCATAACCTATAAGAGTAAACATTTCGTACGCGGAACTTATTCGGAAGTTAGTAAGTGTATTTCCACAGAAGCATTATGAAAATTAAAATTTTAAACGATAGATTACATGTGCAGGACATTGGTCATTAGATATAGTCTTAACCCGAAGAACTTTTCTTTTTTCGGGATTAGACTATTTTGATATCAACCAAATCTCGCTGTCCGCAAACACCATTGTGACAATTGTGAATTGAGCGGCCTGGAATTTAAATGAGCTTATGGTAAATGTATATAGGTTATGGAAACTTCGATGTGGGAAGCAAATGTGTGATATGTTTTAGATTTGTGAAAAAAAAGAAATCGAACGAAAAGATCGGTTAATGTATTTGTTTATTTGTCTCATAGATTACGTATAGCCGCCAATACGCAAACGCCATCGTTTGGCGATGATGATGTTTCCGATGACGAATTTGAAGAAACTACTGAAGAAAAAGGTAATAACACAAAAATTTTTAATTGAAATGTAAATTTATTTATTTTCATTATAGCACGCCGTATGGAATTTGAACGTCGTCGTAAAGAGCATTATAAAGAATTCGAAGCAGTTAAATTAGCTCGGAAGTTGATAGAGGAAGAACTTGCTGATGTTGATGACGACGAAGATAGTCCAGAAATTTCGGTTGTCGATACAGAGAAATCCATATCAATTTTATCGGAATATGAGTGTGAAGAAGAAGGAAAGTTACCATCGGAAGTAGCGCCTGTTATTTCAGGAGTTGCTTCTACTAGATTAGAATCGTCGGATTCAATAACTCAAATTGCTTCAGCGCATTCACTAAATCGACAAATGGATGTGGACCAACCTTTGCCTACGTATCATCCCTGCCATGGCAGAGAGCACTAAATGAATTAATTGTGTGTATGTAATCATCAGTTAATCTTAAACTCAAGAAAATGTTTGTGAAATTATCAATTCAAACCAACGTGATTCTGACTTAAACTCAATTAGAAATGGAGAATTAATTGACTAATTTGGTTTTTTTTTTTCTTAAAGAAACTCACGTCCGTTAACATTGTTGTATATGTTAAATCAATGGCAATTAAATCATTAGAACTGCGTTTGTGTTTACAGATAAATAAAAGGTTTTATTTCTTCTGCTTCATGCGATACGGTGCCACCTATCTATACATAAAATATATTTCCATTCTTTAAAAAAATAAAAAATGTTGAATGAATTAATACTTTTATTTATTTATTTTTTTTCCTGTGAACCTTTCCAAGTTAAACATTTAGGAATAAGGCTACTACGAAACAAACGATACTTTTTTGCATTTTTTATCAAAAACTAAAAAGAAATTATTTTCTTCCATAATTTTTAACTTTAATATAATTTTTTTTCTTTTTAATTTGCTTGTAGTATTAACAGCAATGACAAAAGACACAAATTGAAAAAAGTAGAAAAACTAAATCATTCATTCTCGCGATATGAGTTAGAAATTGTGTTAACAATATGAATCAATAATATAATTTTAAATGTAATAAAATCAAAAATTATATACATATATACATGTATGTATGGTGTATATATGTATGTATGTATGTATGTATATATGATTTTTATTACAATTATTACACTGTCTTTTTATCATTTATATCAATTTTGTCAATGTATAAAACAATTAAAATTTTGAATAAATATTGCAACTCCAATATATCCGGTAAATCATTTAGCATTTAAGGTTTTACAGAACCAGGTCTTTAGAATCATATTTAGTCACGCCAAGTCGAATGCACTCCAAAGCTACCCCCCAAAGCTGCTTCCAATTCTTCCTTTAACTGTCAATAGCATTTTTGGCATAATTCATGTAAGTGAGAAAATTAGTTGTTTGTAGATGGTATTTTAGATCATAATTCATGCAAATGTGGTTAGTAGAAGGTATTGGTGGGGCCCTCTGCACATTATAAGTTTATGTACGAATGCCCTCTGCCGCTTATAAATGAATATATAAATATCCATTTATAAATAAAAAGTAAATGCATTGGTAGCATTGTTTATATAAAGATTCGAAACTAAATGAATATTTTCGCGATAGTAAAATTAATTTTCTAAGATGGTTTTTCTTTCGTTTTGCTTGACATCCTTAGGGAATTGCTAGCATTGTTATTGTAAAATTTTATCTCACCCGTTTTATTCGGGAAAAGAGAGACAGAATAGTCGGTCACTTTTTATCAATTACTTGAATATAAATAAGCGATACCTAAACGACAAGACGGTCCAATATTTTGTGCGAAATTTCAAGTGGGAGATTATTATCGACTCTCTTTTTGTGTTCCGGTTGTAAATAGCAGGAATGCTAATTAGCAGCCATTCGCCAGTTTGCTTTTCCATTCTCATTATTCATATGGACAACATTGTGTTAGGGTTTCTGTTAATAGTTCCTTAAAACGAGAGTAAAGTACAGTACGATATCCGTCCTTTAATAATTCTTCGTACATCTTCAAAACTGGCTATGTGACTCAAGAAAATCTTCTTTACGCCCTTCTTTGTATTAAATGTGGTCGGACTGAACTGTATCCAAAACGTACTAAACTTACGCTACCGAAATTGTTGCCTTGCCCCACATTACAGATATTATGAACGCAGTAATTGTGATGAGTTGTATTTCCAGAAGCTGGAATCCTGTAAAATTACTACCAGTGCTCAAAGGAGTCAATCTCTCTAAAAAGTTTTTGAGAAATTACTTTATAATCAAATTCATAAATATCTCTTAGAAAACGATTCAATTGATTTATTTCAGTGTGGCTTCAGATCTATGCACAGTAGATTACGGATAATATTATTAGTAGATATTATTAGGTATTAATAAGTATTATATTATTATTTACTATTAAATAGGTTGAGGATTGATGTGGGAAACATAAAACTCATCGTCCTAATAGGATGCCTTATCGAACGCATTTGATTCGGTTGATCGTGACACTCTTTGCGCCAAGCTTGAAAGGATGTACTGCAGTGAAGCCTATTCGCTTATACTTGGTCGGCAGATTGTGTGTTGTCACGTGCTTAAAGTCTTACACAAGCCACAAGAAGTGTTTCCCAAGAATAAGACGGACATACAACTATACCGAGGTGGCTGTGGTAATTAACTAAACTCGACTAAGCTAACTAAATTCTAATTATAAAGTAAATTCTGTGGATAGGATAGCGGCTATTTATGCCTGGTCGACATTAAATGGCCCCGTACTGAACAATAATAAGTGCAAATAGTTGCTTATAAGAAAGAGTCCATTACGAAATTCAACTGATTTAACGAGAACTATAAATAACAAGCTGGCCCAACGTACTGATACGGCTGTAAACATTAGTAGTTTTGTTAACATGGGAAAAATCATGTCAGTATAGCTACTGCTATCTCTATCATCGACTGGGTAAACGACTATCAGTGCTGGTGACCGTAAACGCTTACCGACAGGCTATTTTTAATAGAATGCAAGTAGTCGCTAAGACAATTAGTATTCTATTGTTTTTCGTGGTCATATTTTAGGCAACATTTTCTGCATTCTTATATTCGGCTGGGACCGAATCTTACATACCCACCATTATTAAAGCCTTTGGCACCCCATACTTGTATTCATTGTCATAAAAAAGTATAAATAAAATAATGCATGGGCATGACCGATTGTTTTTAGTTTTGCATATAAATAATAGGGTTTTCCGTTAAGCAGAGAATGTAAGAAAGTAGAAAATTTCATCCTTTTATCTTGCATAAGTTGTGCGTAATAAGATTAAAATCACAAATTTTTGTTTAAAAAAATTGACCTGCATTTTGTTTACTCTTCACTGCGGGCTTGTGCTATGAGCAATTTGACCTCTTCTGAATATCAACCTGCGAGCAAAGATTTCCAATTTTTCTATCAAATTTGAAGTCGATATCTTAATTTTTGTGACCAGGAGAATATCAAGAATACAAATCACACAAACGAATGGACATGGCTTAATCAATTCAGAATTTCATGCTCATCAAGAATATATACACTTTACAGGGACTCTGAAGCTTTCTGATAAAATGGGTATACCTTCCTCCAAGTGGTGGGTATGATAATAAAATTGTAGAATATTTTAAAACATTCTAGAATATATTCTAGAAATACTTAAATAAGACTTCGTGTACAATAACTCATATGTGGTGGGAAAAATTGCAAAAATATGTCGAATATATATGTGTAGGCAGATAACACTAATAAATGCATTGTATAAGTAAAAAAAGTGTCATGAATTACATAAACTACAACTCGTACAACGTAACTCGTTTCAATAATAAAAAATTTTTTAATATTTCTCGATATGAAATATGATATGAAAGTGTTCATTGAAATTGCTCGGAACATTTGGTGAACATAAAATTTACAATTCATCATTATGAAATAAACGACGAAAACAAAGCGCAATATATGTATTACATACACAGCTACCGTTGATTGTTTTATCATATATACAAACTTAGAGGTAAAGTATAGCGCATATTCACTTAAAAACACAGAATTGCATATGAGAATGAGAGAGCAAGCAGTCATCGTTATTACTGTTATTGATAATGTATTACGCAAAAAATCCGTAATTATTTTTTAATTTGAATTTTGAACAAAATCTTGTCATTGAGTTGTCTCTAATATAAATTTGAAATTTCCTAGACTTTTTAGTCGCTATTTTACCCTTTTCGCTTCAAAAAAATGTAGTTCGAATTTCGTAATGAATTTAGCAAAATTTATCGATTGAGGTAAAACTAAATATTATCAATGACGTAAAAAACAAGGTGAAAAAAAAGTGTTACGTGTGAAATACATATGGAATAGGTCCACAGTTAATCGAATGAAGCAAAGAGATTGACATATACGTGTATGTGTTGCTCAGTGTAAGAATAATATGCAACAAAAAGCAAAATGTGAACGTAAGGCCCGCTATGTAAATTTGGGAAAAACATTGATATCTTCATATTGATAACGAATCCACTGTTGCTAAGGTAGACTAAAGAATTGGTTGTGGATTTTGGGAAAGGTCTTGAACTTACCTGTCCACGGCTGTGGCGCTGGCGTCAACATGAAATCACCAAATATTATGGATGAGAATAATATGGACGTAGACACCTATGGCGAGGGTAGAAACAATGATATAAAATTTGTGCCAGATAACGGAAATGACTATATTAATGACTCAGAAAGTAGTGTCGAAAAGTGTATATAATAAATTGCGATATAAAAGACAATGCACGCACACACAACTATTCGGAAAACGAACTATTCGGAAAGTAAAATGATCTGCTTAAGGGTTTTCGTGGGTACAATGATGATTGTATTTTTAGTGTATATGCTGCAAAACTTCTTTAGAGGTAATCAGTTGTCCATAAAGCGATTGACAAGCGGTTGACATTAATGCCGGAAATGTATTTTTTTTTATAGATGAGACTATGCTATTGGAAAACTCACCTCTGAAACATTACTTTGGCAGTAAAGTACACTCAACTTTATGGGTACATGATTTTAGAAAGATTAGACGAGAGAATGATCGCAATAAAGAACAGAATTATGTTAATTATGTTAAGAGTAAGTTTGATCGCATGATAAACTGTAGACTTTAAAATGTAAATGTCATCGTATTGCCGAGCGGCATAGATATCGACTTGATTAATGGTGAACAGCCGTTACAGCAAGGAATTACAGCAGTTTCTTTAAAACCCAATATATAAAAATTATGATGAGTCAACAGCTGTCAGTTTGAGAAGAGGGCTAAAGCTGGAAGAATTACGAAAATCTGTTCAAATTTTTAACGCTCTATTTTATATAAAATAAAAGGCTTGATCCGCAGCAACACTGAACGCACAATTTAAAGCTTCAAGAGTGTAGGTAGGCAAGTAAATAAACAAACAGATCGACGTAGTTTAATGATTATTTAAAATTTGCCTTCGATTGAACATGCAGGGCTTCGTCCACATTTAAGTTCACTCTCTTATAGAGCCGGTGGTTTGCGACGATTTTGGTAATATTGAAGTTGCGCAACAAGTTAAGGGACCATATGAAAATAGTGATTTAGTAGATGGCAAAGATGCTGGGGAGAACTTTTCATCAGCCTTAAAAGAAGCAAAAGCCAGTAGGCTTTTGATGTTCTTCAGAAATACAGCTAATATCGCACTGCTGATGTAAATAATTCTCTAAATAATTCTAATTCTATTTACTTCAAGCGGCTGTGCAAGGATGTGTTTAAAACAATCGAGATGGCTTGCTCTTTGCCATTTAGTGAATTTGAGTGAATATCCTTCGCCAGAAATAATTTTTCATTAACCAAAGTCTTCTATTCGAAGCCAATTCGACTCAAATTCCCACGTTAGCGAAGAATTCTTACCGTTTCTATTGCGTATTGTGCGTGATTATTATTGATATCAGCACACAAGGAATAACACGGAATATGGAATCTGGAACATGGATATTAACTGAAATAGTCACTGCCAGCAGTGTGGATAGGATAGGAATTATAACAAATTTTTTAATAGATGCTTGCTTGTATTGCGGTCAGCGCCATCTATTGGTGAAAATGACAAAGTAATGCGGAGTATTAATGCACGCAATGATGATATTGACCTCTCTCCACATAAAATAACAGCTTTCCATTTAGCATAGCTAATCTGCTGCCTAACCCCGTCAATCTCTTTTGGATGTTTATAGTGATGCTGCTTCGTCACATCCCAATTGTCGGTTTTGGTTTCAACGCTTAATAAGCGGTAATTTTGATGTCAGCGATAAAAAAGAACGTTCGAGGACAATGAATAGCAAAACTTATTGGACGAAAATCCAGCTCCGACTTTCAAACAACTTTCGAATAACAGTTGATGAATCAACTGTTGGCAGAGGTTTATATGCGATGGGAACGAGCCAAAATGAGGGCAAATGCCTATCATATGAATTGATTGAAAATGCCATTTCAAATCGTTTGAGTGTCGCGATTCCATTGTTTGCTAGGGAAAAAAGAGCTTTCTATCACGTATTGTGATTGGCGATGTAAAGTGAATCTACTACGACAACCTCAAGTGCAAAAAGTCATTGGTTAGTTTAGAAGAGCCATCCATTTGCGACTATGAAGGTTTGCTGTGCCTATGGTGGGATCAGAAAAGGGACAGTGTATTAGAAGCTGCTAAAATCGAATGAGTTTGTTACTGCAGATCTCTACCGATGTCAGCTGAGCGATGAACGAGGTATTGTTGCAAAAATGACCAGCAATAGGGGTCAACAGACGTAAAGCCATACTCCTGCCTTTGCCAAGGATACACAGTTGCATTGTACTATCTAATTGGAAGTTCTGCTGCATCCAGCGTTCTCACCAGACAAAGCAGTAACTGATTACCAACTGTTCAAATCGATGCAGCACGACTTGATGGGCACGCAGTTTCAAAATGCTGAAGAAGTGCGAAAACGGGACATAGATTGGACCAATGCCAAACTTTCTTTCATTCTTTGGGCACGATATCGCCATGATGCCAAAAAGATGCGAAAAAGTTGTGATGCAATATATATCGAGTAATATATTTTGGACTAATTTTTTTCAATAAATGCCTTTTTCAAGTGAAAAAATGATCAAAATACTTGAAAGCACCTAATAAATGTTACTTACACAATAATAGTTTAGTAAATATTCATGGCCTAGCATGCCATGAATTTTTTTAGGAATTTGGGCCACAAAACATGTCCATGCCGATGAAAGAACGAAGTTTTGTCACGATTGAGAAGATAGAGATCGTAACGTTCAAAGGGGACGAGCTGTAAACAAAAAATGCATAACAAAAATGCTTCGCGGATTGGCAAAAGGGACTGGCACAGGTGTAGTATGTCTAGAGCGGATTACTTTAAAGATGAAAAAAGATATATTTTTGGAGAAGAATAAAAAGGCACTTTTTTTTTTTTGTTTTTCAACACACCTCGTATGTACATTCTTTTTCAAAAAGAACTTGATTGCAATTTCTTCAAAAAAAAAAAAAAATATATATATATATATATATATATTTATAATATATGTAATACAATATATTATATATATACATATATTAAATATTATATAAAAATTATTTATATATAAATATATTAAATATTTATATATATATATATACATATGAAGAGTGATAATATCTTTATAATTGGAATTAAATATATTAGACTAATGGGTATTGAAAGGTAATTCAAATTTAAGACTAATTAAATATAGAGAATGGATAAAAGTAAGTGAAAAAGATTTAACGGCTGTACGACTTTACAACTTGACTCGACGACTTTCGCAACCATTGATTCTTGTTTCTTTGTGATTCTGTGCAACATAAGTTCGTTCGCTATCAGCTCTCGATTATCTATGGTCCTCGATCTAAGTAGCAAAAGCTGAAAGGGATTGCAATTTTCATTTTAGATATGGAGATTCGACAATATTGGGACATGAGCTTAGTTTTAACTCAATTCAATTTCGTGGGTGTGTGAGAAAGTTTGCATTCGTACGATTGCGGCATTTACGTGAACAAGCTGGAGCCGAGAGTATATTCTTTCTTTTAAGTTGATCACTATTGAAGCGATTGAAGGTGTCGCCGAAATACGGTATTAGAACGGTTGCAAATTCTATAAATGTTATAGAAAAGCAAAAAAAAAAAAAAATAAAAATAAAACTGCATTGAAAAATAGGTTTCTTTTGATCCGTTTAAATTTTATTAATATGTTCTTACATGATATACCAGGATACATAATCATTTTTTTGTGTTTTTGTTTTTTTTTTTTTATAGAGATGTTATCGTTAGTTAGTTTCGCTAGTCTGGGTGTATGTAGTAATATCATTTCCAAGTAAAGACATTAAATAATTCAATATTTCACTTGTATTGCAGTTGGGGAGTCTCGTGTGTACGCTTTGTAATCTGTTCACTTAATGAACACATTCAAATTATCCATTTTATGCACAGCATCCTCAAGTTGTTATATATAAAATGCATAAGAATTTCAAATAAGAAAATTGTTACAGAAAGTGAACGAATCACAAATGGGTTCATTTTATGTTATAAATAATTAATAAATCTTTATCGTAGATGTAGATGTTTTCGTATTGTGCTTATTAGAAAACTCTTTCCATATATTCGTTGATTAGTTGTTTTGTTTGTTGAATTTAAACGTGTAGATAGGTAGGTAGGTGTGCGGTTCAAAACATTGACAGTCAAATATTCTAACAAAAATTGTTTATCTTTGTGTTCATGTGCTAAATAATTATTGTTAATTATTAATTTTATATATAAATAATTAATTGTGTGTAAGTATATACATAATTATATATGTATACATAAAGAGAGAGAATATATTAGTAATAATTTCGTATAATTTTTATTTATTTTTTTTTGTATTTTTTTGTATTTTTTTGTATTTTTTTTTTTGTATTTTTTTCATAACTTAATAGATTATACGCAAATAAATAGATAAGTTGGACATAAATATTTATTTGTGTTCGTTAATTGTGTTAAAATGATGAAAAACAACAAAAAGAGAAAAAGAAAAAGAAAAAAAAAAAAACAACAATAATAATATAAGAAAAAAGTTCGTTAATTAAAAACAACAACATTATTTTAAAAAATTATCTCACGGATTACACTTTTTGCGTTAAAATGTGTTTTGTATTGTTTTAATTTTCTCCTTATTCACATAAGTAATAAATTAAAAATAAAAAAAAATTAAATTCATTTCTTGCCGAGGAACGTGAAAGATGATGACGATCTTATATAAGAGGCAATGCTCCGAGTTTTACTCTTCATTTCTTTCAAATGCGATCTAAAAGTTTGCCCCGCCTTTTTTCCGATCAAGAATATGAGATGTAATTTCTCTCGATCGCAAGACAAACCTGATTTACTTGGCAAACTTTCAAAGCTCATTTTTTGTTTTGTTTTGTTTTTTTTTTTTTTTTTTTTTTACGAGAAACTCTTTGCATCCAAATAAATTCATAAAGTTTTCTCTAAACTATTAAATAAACGTGTTTTTCTTTACTTTTTTGTTTTTTTTTTTGTTTTTTGTTTTTTTTTGTTTTTTGTTTTTGCTTTTCTTTCCCTTTCTTTGGATGTGTTAGTATAATGCATAATATATATATCCATATATACATATATATGTATATATATATATATTTATTTATTTATTTTTGTCACTGTGTTTAACATTGTTAACATAAATAATGGTTAGTGTAGTTTATTTTTGTTTGATTGTTTAAAAAATTTTTAAGAATTCGTTAATTTTTCATTCTCTGCGTTGCGTGGGGTTTCATTAGGCTTCGTTTTCCGTGGTCATCTATTTTCAGACTATTTAGCCATTATGTGTTGAGTGCCTGGTGGTACTTTATAGCTGGGATAATGATGAGATAAAGCATTTTTGGCAAAGAAAGCTGTATAGTCCTGCAAATACAATTAATTATATCGCATATAGAAAATTGTTTCATTAGAGTGGAACGAAAATTGAACTTTATCTATATAATTGAAATTACTTAACTTAATAGCGAAATAATGTAGTCGCGTCTATCGCGTTTATTAAATTGAGTAGAATTTAAAAAATTTTTTTTTTTTTTTTTACTTCTATTTTATTAAAAGTGACCGGATCTTTATTGCCTTCTATTGTGAATCTATTTTGTAATGTAAAAATGTTTTTTTATATTTAATTCGTGTATCCCGCCTATTAAACGGACAAATAAACAAATATTGGAATAACTATTGGAAAAGTCATTTCTCGTTTTTATTTATTTATTTATTTATTTATTTTTTGTTTTTGATCAAAATGAAAGGCGACTTCTTTATAGTAATAGATTATTATGAACGGTCGAATTCGACAAATGTAATCACTCATTGAACGCTCGCGAATTATTTTTGCGATAGTTTGCATCAATTAATCAGTTAATCCCTGTATTTTGTCTTTATTCGCTTCAAATACTCGGAACGAAATTTTCTAAGCCAATTTTAGCATTGGCTCTCTGTCAATATATCTTTTTCAAATACATTCAATCATATTGTTCTTGTTAGATTTCATTCTTGTTAAAATATACCGCCGAATTTTTAATTAATGAGTATATCAATCAGAAACCTATTCCTTGTCTCAACTTGGTTGTGAAAAAAGTACGATTAAGTCAATTGTTGGGAGAAAATGTTGGGAGATTGACAAAACTCCGAACAATCGGATAGTACAAGGGAATACACAAAGGCAAACAGATAGTGATACAATTGCTGATCTTACCTCTATGCGAAAGTACTTTAAAAAGTATTAAATTTCATAAAACAAAAACGACCATAGCCATATCTATAGACCATAATTATGAGATCTGATGAATAATAAAATTTTAATTTCGTTGCATGTGAGCGCTTAGGGTATCAAATAATCAATTTGCCTACAAGTGCCTTAAAGAAGAGCAAAGAAAAAAAAAAAAAAAAGAAACCTGGCATCGAATTCATGTAAACCGTTGCTTAAAATCTCATACATCTCTCAGCCACTATTTAATAAAAAAATCAAATTATAATATCATATTAGCACTAAAAATGTAAAATTAACATTAAAGTTATTATGATTAGTTAGTAGAACATTAAGAATATATATATATATTGATCTATTTATATATAGTTTCTATACTTTTTTAATATACTTTTTATTATTATTATTATTTTTTTTTTATATTTTGAAAATTTCTTTTTAATTATTCGAAATATATGCATGTGTTTTGTTTTCTTATTTAAAAGTGGCTATGCTGTATGTTTTTGTGAAAGGTGCAGGGGAATCCTTAAATAAGATAAAAGAGAATCATTCAATTTATTGGCTCAATAGCTTTTGTATGCAGTTTTGTAAAGCTCTCTTCATCACATTTCACTCAAAAGCTTTCTCTAAAAATTTTTTATAATTTGGGACACTATGGTGAATGGTGAATGTCGTAATGTGTTGTTTGTGATGAAACTGGTGGTGGACATCACAATAGATTTTATATTGAATTTTGATGATTACGTATACAATTTTACGTAGAATTCATCCAAAATTTTCAATTAAATAATTCTTACTTGCATTCATATTTATTAGGAAAAAAAAAATCCAAAACAATATACATATACATATATAATATATATATATATATATATATGCATATTAATAATAATGATAACAATGAAATGGCGTTGGCGAATATATCAATCACCGTAAACGATCAAATGAATATCAACAAGTTTCTGTTTGCTGAACACGTGTTAATGGAGTCAATGGATCGAAAATGTCCAAATGATTCGAATGAAAATCTGCGATGAATTTCGCAAAATAACGACCCAATTTTTTACTGATCGATATAGCTAATATATCAAATTTTGAAGACGAATATTATTACATAATATCCATTTCCGCTTTTCGTTAGTGGATTGAAAAATTCTTTTAATGCTTTTGTGCTTGTAGATATTATAATCCTGTCATCGAAAATAAACTAAGATGAACGTTTCGTATCAACTTTTTCGGTACTATGAAGTTAGGAAACTATTTATTTATTTACTTTTTTCTCTTTTCATGTGTTGGTACTTGGTACTGTCTTTGACATCTATGTAGATATGTTTGGGCGATTGCCGGTGAGTTGCACGCCTAGCGTTGCAAACCTAGAAAAATGAGTTATTCGGTTTTTACTATGTCTCCGAAGCAATGATTTCTCACTGCGAGGATGTCATGGAAAACGTCACTGCAAAAGATGAGACTCGGAAACAAGCGATCAATCGAGCGAATATCATGCATAAGGTGAGCGAAGACCGAAATCGCGATTTATTTTGATCGTGGCTGTAGTGAGTAGCTAGCTGGGCAAGCCATCCAACGACGACATTTCGGGCACGATCATTCTATCTCTTACGCTTCTTCTTCTTTTTACACTTCTTTTCAGCCACGTTCTAAGCAATCTCACAGGGCCATCTCAAGCAAACGTCCAGTTGACATTGTGGCAATTTGCGACTCTTTGGTATTACGATGCTTGCTCACAAAATTCGCAAATATCAAAAAGAAGAGAAAAAATCATGAATTTCGGACTATCCGCCGATTGGCCCGCAAAAAATTTGTCTTAATTACCTATTATTTCTGATATTGTTATACCCTACATCGCTTATGGTCCAAGATATATTGAGTTGCGCGGACGTATGGAATACTCAAGAGGACTTGGGATAGATCCACGTTTTTATTATACAAATAAACTTGCCTGTCCATATGTCCATCTGATGTCTGTGTTTATTTAAATTTGTGTTCAAACTATAGGTCGCAATTTTCGAGATATTTTGATAAAATTTGGTACACTGGCGTGTTTTGGCTGAAGGACGCACGCAATTGAAAATTGTGTAGACGCATGTAACAACCGCAAGGGATCAAGATACATCCATCTTTTATTATACCCAACGATTTAGAATCATTTTCTGAATCAATGTAAGCTTGGCCGTCCGTCCGTCCGTCCGTCTATCTGATGTGTGCCCACGTAAATTTGTGTTCATGCTATTAAGCGCAATTTTTGAGATATTTTGATGAAACTTGGTATATTGGGATGCTTTGACCCCAGCAGGAATGCTGTCGAAAATGGTTCGGATCGGACCCCTTTTTCGACCTTATTAATTTGATAAGTCGCTATATGAATAACTATATGGTGGAATAGAGGTTAGAAGGTGGGCCATGCCTCATTATTGTGTTGTACTTTTTTCATTGATCAATCTAAATATATTTTTTTCAAGTGCTATACTCTTTTCAGGGATTACATCAGAAATATCAGATCAATCATATAAATACAGAAAACCTACTATAAGTAGACGCAATTAAAAATTCTGATTGCTAGTGACACGATACAAGGTCAAAATAAGGTTGCTAGTATAAAATATTTAATCTTTAATCATTGGACGGCAAGGCTGATTATTAAATGTTCTAAGCCTAAGACAATTGTGTTATTATTTTTAGGAAAAAATACTAAAAATTATAGTTTGTTTCCATGTTGGGCGATAACTTGATCATAAAATATTAAAAATTATACAAAAAGGCTTACTTTCGATGAGAATCGTTTTATAGAATTGGTTTCAAAAAACGTGTGCGTTCGATAAAAAAATCTTACTTCATATAAGAGCTACATTCGACAGAATTTTTTCACTTCAATTTCATATGTTGAGTGCATTCATATCCACATGCTTTTGTCGCTATTTTGTAAATTGCAAATGCGATCGCATAGGTGGTGTAATCTAATCCGTTTTCAATAGTTTTTATTTTTCAGTGAGTGTATCAAAATTTGTAAATATATATTAAAGTTGAGTGTTATAAGTTAAACAAGTATATACATATATACATATATACATATATACATATATGAACAAAGTTCGGAACGACAGACGAACAGGCAGGCAAACTTAAACTGATTCAGAAAAATTATAAGCCGCACAAACTTAATATGAACTGGGACACAAGTTGTGTAAGATGCAATTGGAACAGATTTGATAGCATTAAGTAAACAGTTGCAAACGAGATATGCACAGTTTCGAGGCCTTTGCACGGAAGCAACATTTCATGAATTAGGCATGGCTGTTCAAGCGAGAGAGCCGGAAAACTATTGTAAAAATTTCCAATACTAATACAGTTGCATAAGTGGTGCAAAAATATGAAAACGACATATATTTGTCTCGATTACGTGACAAAGTCACTCAACGAAATAAGTGGCACGCATCAAACAATCGTTAATTACGATATATGTGTCATTTGTTGTAGCCACCTACAACGGGCATAGGAGATTTATTCGAAGCTTGCGTTGATCTGAAACACGTTATGAACACTCCCCGAACGACCCATGACACGTCAAGGGCTAGCAAAACATGGACAAAGAGTTTTTTTTTTTTTTTTTTTGTTTGTTTTCCTTAGTTTACTTACGCGGTTGGTCTTTCTCGGTCTGCAAGCTGGACCCATAGCGATTTGGCGACGTTCTTCATTTTCGCGGGCAGCTGCCTCTTTGTATTCCGGTGGTGGCCATTTCAAATCACCGCGCATGTTGCTGCCTCCTAAAAATGTGTTACCAATGAATGATCATTATATAGGTGTGAGTGTTTGTCTAGAAGAGAATAATTTTATACCTTTCAAGATAACAGCGGCCGGTTGTGAGGTGTAAACTGGTGTCGGTGTCTGAGAAATTGGGGCCTCTTTGCGTAGAGTTATAACGCCTGGACTTCCGCTACGATAGTCTTGCGATTGTAACGGCTGCTGCTGCAAATGCCGATGATCGGGCTGATCGTGAGACGGAATCGTCTGCTGTTGTTGCTGAGGCTGTGAATTAAAATTATACGTTTGATTGGTTTGTGTTGCAAATTGATTCGGTTGTGTTTGAATTGATATTGTTTGATATTGATTTAATGGAGGCTGATATTGCGGAGCCTGATACGGTTGCGGCTTAGGTTGAAATTGCCGTTGATTTGACTGCATCCAGGGCGGCTGTTGATATTGCTGTTCAAATTGTGGTGGCTGTTGATTTGATCGTGCCAGTGGAGAGTATTGGGGCTGTATAGGGTTCTGGACCTGCTGATGATGAGTGTCATACGATGGTGCACGATATTGTTGCTATATAAGTATCGTCCACAGCAACAATAACGATAGGTGTGCAATGCATGCAGTTTTATTTTGATTAGGTGCGTGTATTTCGGAAGGGTAAAGACGCCACGTTACAGTTTCATACATAGGTTTACAACAGAGACAGAGATTTGGAAAGAAACAGAAAGAAAGGAAGAAAGACACAAAAGTACAATATTGTGTTAGGTGAGCAGAAGACAAATGCGATTTCGTAGCAATCGTGAGAGGAAATAAGTGTCGTTTAGTAAAGGAAGATGATGCGTTGCGTTTTATATGGTTGAGGTTAAGGTTATCATTAATGTTAATCTTAAAGTCGTGGTGTTGGCTGAAATTTTTAAAGAAAATAAAGCAATTTTGAGAAAAAGTTCTGTTCTTTTTTTTTTTTTTTTTTATTCGTCTTAAATTTTGTAACAAAATCAACAATCAGTTGAAGCCAGGGAATATATTAACATTTACAATAAAATTTATTCAAACAGATAATAACAGATAATAGTAAGAATAATCGCGACATGTAATATATCGGAAGAAGGGCGTGTAGAGTTACTAACGGAAAGTTCATCTATCGTTATTAAAACAAAGAAAAAAAAAAAAAAGAAAAAAAAAAAAAAACAAATAAAAACGTTATAGTTGGGCGAGACCGAACATTGAATATCACACCACCACTTCGCTTAGAATAGGTCTTCGTTGACAATCGTGATGAAATACTAAATATTATACATTTTTTTTTTTTTTTTTTTTTTTAAAGAAAAGATACGCCCGCATTTAGGAGGTTGCGTAAAACGTGAATTTAAAGTGTAAAAATTTTCCTTCAAATTTTAGTTTAAGTATTTAGTATATTAGACGTAAATATGAAATTTGACCTAAATTATTATTAGGAACATTGAACAGTGGAATGAGCAAAAGCTGCGATCGCTTGTTTACATTAAAACTTTTTGGTTGATTTAGTTATGCTGTAATGCCTTTTCAGCGAAATATAACGAACGGATGTAAAAATTCCGTCTCGTCCCTTGCTTATCGTTTGTTTGCTTATGCAAAACTGTGTGCGTAAGAAATAGAAAGTTTCATGATAAGAAAATTTTTCTAAGGCGATACATAAAGAATTTTTACAAAAAAAAAAAAAAAAAAAAAAAAAAATCTGAAAGATAGTAGAGAGTATATTAGACTTTTTCATTTTTCTCTGAGGGGAAAGTTCCCTATGTCATTAGGACGATGACGGCTAGAGAAAGAGATAGAGAAAGAGATAGAGAGAGAGATAGAGAGAGAGAGAGTTGAAGATCGTAGCCTAGTTGGGGTTTGCCCGATCGCTAGGCATCTTGTTAGCTTCAGGGCACTTGGGTTTTGAAGCCAAGAATCCACGCTTGATACTCGGCTACTCATGCGAATAATGCGTCTTTTGTAATAACAACAAATACACGCTAAGATGGCGTGACAATTTATCATTGTTCATCTGTAACATTGTCTAGTCTTTCCGTTGTCCTTCGCCGCAAACCGTTTTAGAAGTTAAGTTGAAGGCCGTAGATCGACCTTAAGAAGGGATACATCGAAGAAAAAACTAAAGCTAGCCAAACTACAAACACACTCACAATAGATATAGAAGACGGTCATTTGTAGCTCTTCAAAGGATGTGTATTTGATACTTGATAGAAGTACTTTTTAGGGCCCAAGGCCAAGCTTGATCGTGTAAATATTACCTTTGCATTGAACAAAATAATTTATCGGCTTTATTTGATGGTTGAGATATTAAAGACTCGTTCTACGATGATTATAGAATTTTTTAATTATTTGCCGTAATTTTTTCCTGCGATAAATATATCGCTGTTTCTCGGAGCAATGCAAGGCTCAAAGTATTTAAAATATTGTTTTAGTAAGTAAAAGCGTACATTTTGTGTTCATTCATAATTGATGGTTTTATTGATTAAACGTCAAAGGGATGATTCAGTAATCAAATTACCCTTTATTCATAGTTATATCTATAATTGCGATCAGCAATGTCCTCTTACCGATTGTAAATTGCAATATGATTTTTTTTTTTTGTTATTTGTTTTATTTTATTATTTCTAAAACTGATTGACATTTTATTGACTTTGTCATAATAATCTAATCGAAATGGGTTTTGTGACAAATGTCAACTATTTCGCTTTCTGTTTACTTTGCATTGTATTGCAACGTGTAATACTAACAAACTCTAATGCACATAGAATTGAACAAGCTTGACATCAACAACAACATTAACATTAGCTTGACTGAGGTATATTACAACTTAAATAATAATACAATTTAAAAACAAACAAACAAGCAAACAAATAAATAAACGAACGAGCAAGAAGCGAAAAAATATAACATCAATAACTAAAAATCAAAGTAATTGTTGTTATTTTGTGTAAAATTAAGTTAATTTGTAATCGCGTGCAACATGAAATATTAAAGTCAACCACCACTAGCACTACCGCTAAGGGAAAGCAGTAACTTTTCTTCTTTTTTTTTTTCGAATTTAGAAGAAGAAGAAAGCGAAAAAAATCATAATAATAATACAAACAAAAAAAATAAAAAAAAAAAAAAAAAAAAAACTAACAACGAAGTGAAAACAAGCAGAGAAATTGCTTCTTAAACTTTAGAAGCCTTAATAACAATTTGAATTTTGTACATGAAAGTGCACCATATCGGTACACAATATGTTACAGATGATTAATAAAATTATGCCCCCTTCCGCCGCTTCAGACCATCGGCAGTAAGTCGTGCCATTACTTTTATTGGGAAAAAAAATTTTCCAAAAAACTTTTCGAATATGATTCGAAGTCTTTGCTGGCGGGCCAAGTGTAAATTGTTCGTTTTACGTTTAATGTATGCGATGTCGCGGTAGTGACGGTAAAGGGCCTCGTAAAGAAAATAAACTGTAAAGAAAATAAATTGTATGCGTTCTATCCGAATCTTCGACAAACATATATTTTTCAACTAAAATCTTTGATTATTTCAAATACTATTTAAGGTTACACCTACTGTAAGCTAAGCAGTCTAAGCGGAATAAATATATAAAGATCTCTTTACATTATTGACTTCTACTTGATCTAAGTTAAGTGAAAATAAAATCAGACGAGAAACACGAGTCTCAGGTTTAGAAGTCGCTTACACGGTTTTCCAAGCGAACTCTGTACAATCTCACTACTAACTTACATTGACTTTGGATCTCATGCCTAAGAGAATACGAATCTAATTAAGAAAACTCATAATTAAGGTTGCGATCTCAAGTCTTAAATGAAGTTAGAATCGCGCGAGAAATTTAATTCTGATAGCTGGTAGGTATATATATATACATATATCTATATTTCTTCCCCTCTACCTCTCTCTCTGTCACTCTCTCTCTCTCTCTCTCTCTCTCTCTTTCTCTCTAGGTAAATAGAAAGAGAATGGCACGAAAACTTTGAAGGCTTTCTTTGTTGTTTGCAAGGTCTCATCCGTAGCCCCTAATTGACTTGGCTAAGTGAATTTGGAATTGCACTACGACTCCGAATTTCGGACGATTTCTGATGAATTATTCTTTTCGCTCGATTGTTGCAAATTAAAACCCAAACTAGTATACCAAACAACTACATGATTTTATGCCGTATAGAGGAATAGAAAAACAAAATGTACAGTTGAAAATGGAAAATGAAAAAAAAAAAAAGCTTTTTTTTTTTTTTTTTGGGAAAATTGGGCGAGATAAATAAAATTTAAATTTTTTTATTTAAAAATTTGAGTGAAAATAACGGCCGACACAATAACAGCACAGTATACCTATTGTTATATATATATATATACATATATATATATATATATGTTGATAGACATAGGTACGTATGCGTGTGCCTGGGTGTTTATGTAAAATTATGAAATTATGTTAGCAGTTGTTGCTGTTATTGTTGTTTTAATCTTGTATGTTTAGGTATGCACATAAGTAATCATTAAACTTTTGTACTTTATAGGAGGATTAAGTTGAACAATATGTACACATTTTCTAGAAAATGCGTTTTATTAAATTTTTACATTCGCCCCATTTGCGAAAGTAGATTACTAAAGTTATTTCATATGTACCTCTATAGACATCGACATCGATATGGACACACTTCTAACTATCATCGACTGAGTTAATTGAATGCAAACGAATGAAAATGATTTTATTAATCAATATGCAAAAAAACTTGTTAAAGAAAGTTGAAGTTTCCCCCCTTCCTTAGATTATAGAAAAATCGAAAAAGAAAAAAAAAAACAAACCCACAAAAAAAAAAAAAAAAATTAAATAAAATCTTATATAAATTTAAATTTTATTTAATAACTTAACAATCTATCAGATATTGTATGAAAATTGTATCAATGATTGAATAAATGATTCCAATGTCATTCATTTATATAAGAGTGCAAGTGAGTCTATATGACTTTATAAGTAAAAATATAGAGATTTTTATAATATATATATGCGCCTACGTTGACGTCCGGTATACAATATTCGTTCTTTATTTATAGCAATTTGTATAAGAGCATTGTAAAGGATTTACTTACTAACATATAATGAGTTTAATATATCTATATAATCGGTCTTTGAAAAATAAACAGATAAAAAATGCTTTGTAAGTGGTAGCATGGGCGCTTTCTACAGCCGTTTTGATTTGCGGAGTACGTGTGCGCCCATATGAAAGGTACAATAATCTCTCTTGTACTTATACATAATTACTTTTGGCATTCTAGTCCTAAAGGGAGATAATCGTTGAATTATCTTATTTTTGGTAAATTTATTCGTATAGACCGACACTTTTTTCGCTTGCAACAATCAATATCTTGAAGTTGCTCGAAATCATTTTAAAATTAATTTTCCGCAACATTTTTAAATCGATAAATACGATTACGAGAGATGATGGGTCATAGGAAATTTTTAATCACTGATAGGCATATCAAGTTACGAGCAAAACGACAAAAAATAAAGTGACTACCAGCAATCGGTTTGCAATCAATTATTTTCT